CTCTCCATAGTAGATATCTGCTATGCCTCCAACAATGTCCCTCATATGCTGGGGAACCTCCTTGGACAAGGAAGAACCATCTCCTTTGCTGGGTGTGGGACACAGATACACCTTTACTTAATCTTTGCACTTACAGAGTGCGTGCTGCTGGCTGCTATGTCTTATGATCGCTATGTGGCAATCTGCCATCCTCTCCGCTACTTCCTCATCATGAACTGGAGGTTGTGCCTCACCCTTACAGCAGTTTCATGGGCTTTTGGGTTCATGTTTGGTACACTACAAGCTTCTCTGGCTTTACGGCTGCCATTCTGTGGCCCCTGCAATGTTGACCACTTCTTCTGTGAAATTCTTGCTGTCTTAAAGCTGGCCTGCACTGACACTACTGTCAATAAAGTCCTGATCTTTGCTGTTTGTGTGTGCTTCCTCCTCTTCCCCTTGGTCTTAATCCTCATTTCCTATCTGCACATCCTGGCCACTGTTCTGCACATCCAGTCTGTGGCAGGATGGCATAAAACTTTGTCCACCTGTGGCTCACACCTGATTGTGGTGGGTCTGTTTTATGGAAATGCCATTTTCATGTACATGGTTCCTGGGAGTGGAAATGCATCTGGGAGGGAAAAAGTTCTTTCCCTCTTCTACAGTGTCATCAACCCAAGTTTGAACCCCCTGATTTACACTCTGAGGAACAAACAGGTGAAGGAAGCCTTGCTGAATCTCCAGGGAAGGAAAAGAGTCTTTCATTCAGTGTAGTACAGGCTCTAAGGTTTTACCTGTCTCTTTCTGCTGTTTCTTCTTGAGCTCTTTTGGTATTTTAAACAGTTAAAATGAAACAAAACAAAACAAATGTATTTATTTCTGTTTCTTTGTACACTCTGATGAATAACACAACACGATGACTAATTATTATTCATTTTATTAGAGATAACTAATTGCTCTTCATCACATACAGACATTCTAAGCAGGCAGTAGGTTTTAACTGAGCTATTGAGACAGCTGGAAAAAGATAGTCTTCTTCATTTTAAGTAGGAGACAGAATAAAATACTTTTTAAGAGATGTATTTTTTTTCTTCTTTTTTCTTTCTTTTTTTTTTTTTTTTGAGTATGCCAGTTGATTTAGTAAGATGTGATTTTTCCCTACCACAATTGTATTTCCTATATCCTTATGATACTAGAGATTCAACTCAGTTATTATAAAAAAGAGAGAAAATATTTTGCTAAAGGGCTTTGTTTCTTAGCAATGTGAATCAGCCTGTGAAGATTTTTGCTTCTGCACACCTTTAGCTCTGAGACCTCCTATGCAGGAAGTGAACATGATGACAGCTGCAGTGCAGAAAATAGCTGTGGGTGGTTTTGCCAGGCTGGTGCCCACAGAAGTTCGTTTAACTGAGCCAGTGGAGATTCCTGCACTCTGCATTGGCCCCGACTCAGAATGTAGGTCCTTAGTGTGTTCCTGTTTACCCATATTTCAAATATCTTTCTTTCTGCAGCTCTCTTTGCTTACAATTACGCTTTGGAAAATCTTCCTCAGTCCCTGTGTTTACACATCTAACTAGTGCTAGATATTCCACTGTTCTACTGGCTCCCTTTAAATTAATTGCCTGCAGGATCATCCCTCCAAGCAAACAAGGCCACTAACTGGGAAGGGGTTTTCAAAATGATGGAGCACATTCAACAAAAAATTCCTCTGCAAACACAATTAAATCTGCATTGTTCTACTTGGCAAGAGTATGGAGGATGTAAAAATAAATCTTCCTGCCCCTCATATGAAGCAGGTCTTTGTAGGTTCCTTCCTTACATATACATTCAGGAGAATAACTGCAGTTGCCTGTTCTTGAGACCTTCCTTTGAAACATGCAGCAATTGAGACATCTGTCATCTTTCAATGTAGGAGAAACGGAAAGGCTAGCATACACTTCAGCAACACTAGCCAGCCATAACTCTGCTCACTCGTATGAATATGCTAAATGTCAAAAATGGTTAGTCACCTCCTGTCTGGTTTGAAGACATGTTCATCTACTAGAGAAGACTATTCCTTCTTTTCCAACCCTAAGCACGGACAAAAGAGATGCATTATTTCATTCCTACTTGAACCCTGCAGAAGCTATAGCCAGATAGTGCAGCTGTTTCTAGATGACAGAAATGACTGAGAAAGCCAAATCCCTCTCCCAAGGCACCTATGCCACAAACAAATCTCTAACCCATTAAAAGTCACCATCAAAGTGACTTCTATCTGTTGCTGTACCATTTCCACAGTGGATGGGAGGGACATGGTGAGGTAGCTGAGGAGAACATTGTGAAGGACCGATAAGCAAAGGATTAGCGTGCTACCTGCAGTGTTTGAGTATCTGGGTCTGTAACACAGCTGCACAACCTTTATTATATTCTTATCCTCCCACTTGCTTGCAGCTCAGAGACAGAGATAATTTTGGCATGCACCAAGTCATAGAACAAGTTAGACTGGAAGGGACTGCTTGGCTCCTGTGTTCCTGCTCCTCATTTCTGAAGCACGGTAACTCCAGATACTTTGCACATCCTCCGCATCATTCCTGCCAGTTTCTCTTTTCATACCACCTTGTGGAGGGAAGAATGGTCTTATCCTTATGACCCAGGTGGCTGCAGAGCCTTTCAGTGAAGTAGGAGTCTCCTTGTGCCCCCCTGTGGATGACCTTTCCTCCAGCAACAAAGCTCCTGGAGTTCTGCTGCACCTGTGGCACAAGGTGGCTCTGTTGGTGGCACGCAGTTGGCGGTCAACGAAGATGGAGAGAGAAGGAATCTTCTGGAGCCCGGTGCTGCTTCAGCTCAGCAGAACCTGAAGCTTTCAGTAGCAACAGGGAACATTTTAATTCAGCAAAACACTGTCCTGCCGAGTGTCTGAGCCGGCTGGACACACCCGTACTGGGGATTGAGGGAATGGTATATATCTCCGGTATGCTCATCCAAAACCTTGCTCAAGGGCTTTTTCTCCTCGGGCTTGAGCCTTACTTCCACTCCTCTCTCCCACGTCCTTCCTCATTAGGACATTGACGGGAATCACTAGGAGGTAGAGCAGACTTTAGCAATGTTTTGCTTTTGATATTATTTGGATTTAACCTCCTGAGTGCAAGTCCTTGCTGATATGACTCCGTTGGGCCACTCAAGCATGAACCTGCCCTCTACCCCACTGTTATTTTCCCCTGGACTTTACACAGCTGACCCAAACCAAGTGCACAAGATACGGGTGTCTTTCTTTCAAGACCTTCCTTCTAATCACAAGGCATTATTGTATTTCCGTCACGGGCCAGGACTGCAGCAGCTTCGCCTTTCACGGCTCAACAAAGGCCAGGGCCACCAGGGCATCTAAGCATCTGAACTGCAGCCAGTGTTTGGTATGTTGCACAATGAGGTGCTCAGAAGAGCATTTCTTTCTCCCCAACTCCAGTCCCGCACAGTCTCTGGCAGTTTTCTCAGCAGGGATCTCTGTTTGGTTTGGCCAGTAGTTGACAGCCTCTGGGATTTGGAGAGGGGTTTCAGAGTGTTTGTACAGCTACAAATCAGATTCACCTGAGCCCTAAGATGGCAAGAGAAGCACTGCTGCACAGTGCAAAGGAAGGGAGCAAATGGCTCTCTTCCAGCGAGCAGGGGTGGATTGTGAAACAGGTGGAAGAATGGGGGAGGAAATGGATGAGAAGGGGAGCTGAAAGGTAAGCTAAGAACAGGGGAAATCCCAACTTTTATCTGATGGTGACCAGGCAACAAATGCTCCAGGAGCAGTGCCCGTGCCTGACCTTCCCAGAAGCCAATGCATTGCCATAGTGTGAACTGAGCCAGTGGGACACAGGGCCAGTGCTCAGTGCTATGGGTAATGGAGCCTGTGTCAAGAGATGAGCTGCATGAGGCATCATTAAGGAGTCGCAGCATAAATGATAACAAGCCTGACGGGGCTTCTGATAATCGCACAGGGGGCTCTGAGGATAAACTCCCCAGTGTCGTCGTTGTGCTGCGGCTGAAGGCCACGGTGGAGGTTGTTAAAGAGTTCTTGTATTGGAAAGCATTTCTGTCCGCCGGGGATGATGTTGGGGGCTAGCCACACAGAACATCCAAGGAACACATCATGAAGTCCCCAGGGCTGTGAGCAAAGTCAATGCAGCAGCACACAGTCCCTCCCTCAAGACAAAGACCAATGATGACCATTTGCAGCTCTGCCCCCCTTGGCCACTGCCACGCCTGTTCCACACACCTCTCCATCTGACCAGGCAGGAGGAGATTTTCTGAGACGGTGCAAACAGATGCTACCCCCAGGTGGGAGCTCCTCTAAGAAGAAGCTCCCGCAAGAACCCTAATCCCAAAGGCCTTCTTAGAGACCCCATGGGCAGGTTGCCCTTCCCCCTGGCAAAAAGATAAGAGTGGGGCAATGCTGTGGAAGAGAAGTGCCTTTTCTTTGGCCCAAGAGCTGCCCTGCATTGTCAGGAGCATCCCCTGTTCCTCCCACGAAGGGAATGAGCAATGCGGTGGAGAGACCATGCTTGGACAACCCTGTCACATGGACAAGGGGCAGAGAGTGACCTGCTCCTCTCTGCTCACTGTCAGGTGCCACTTTGATCACCCACATGACCCCTCGTTGCCCCACATGCTCTCCCTCTCTCTGCTGTCATGCTTAGTCTCTTGTGCAGGAACCATTCTTTCCTGGACAGGGAAGGCAGTGCAGTGAGAAGGCGCTGGAAGCTCAGCTGCTGGCAAAATGCTGAAAGGCAGATTGGGACCCTGAGCAATTCTTCCACAGATTCTTCCCCGCTGCGACACTGCCAGGTGTCACTGTTTAACAAAGCAGTCCACTGACGGGGTGTCCCCTCCTTGCTGTCCCCCATCCTCCCTCTCCCCACTGCACCACCTAGCATCCACAATGCATGACTCAGGCACAACACAACATTTCAAGGGCTTTTATTAGACCATTTGTCCAGAGCGGTGGATTTGGCAAGAGACGGGCAAGTGGCCATGCTGCTCTGGGGCAGGAATTTCTGTTTTCACTTGGCAGCGACACCAGCAGTGGCACGGGCAGGTGCAGCCCGTTGCCTGCGCCTTCTTCTCCTATCCTTGGCCTTCCTCTTTCTGGAGGGTGCGGCCACGCGCTGGCTTTGGGGGACAGCCCTGCTGTGGTGCCTGGGCTTGCCTAGCAGGAGCTGCTTGAGTGCAGAGCTGTTCCGCACAGCCATCTGCAAGTGGCCCGGGGAAATGCGATGTTGGTTGCTCCTCTTGGAAATCTTCCCAGCCATGTCCATGGTCTTGTGCGTCACCCACTGCAGCACAGCAGCCAGAAAGACGGGGGCCCTGGCTCCAAGGCGCTGGGCGAACCGGCCTTTGCGCAGCTGCCTGTCGATGCGGCTCACAGGGAAGAGCAGCCCAGCCCGGGAGGAGCGGGAGGAGCGGCTCTTCTTGGCCTCTGCTCCCCTGCCTGTGGGGGGGCCCCCAGAGCACGTCGCTTCAGGCTCCCGCTGCTGCTCAGGCACCACGCAGACCTCCTCTGCTTCGGACATGCTGCTCGCGGCTCAATCCCGAGGCGTCTCCAGGCTGCGCGGGAGGATCTCCCTGCGTCCTGACTGCCTTGCCCCTGCTCTCGCTGTCCTTGTTGGCCCTGGCGGTTGCTTTCCGACCGCAGGCCCTGCCTGCCCCTGCTTGTGCCTGTGCCCAGCCTGTCCGAGCACTGCGTGTAGCAGGGTGTCCCCACGTGCGCTGCCCAGCGCCCACCCCTCTGCACCAGGCTCTCTCCTGCGCAGGCTCTGGTCCTTTATCCCCTGGAGGGGACCAGCAGGCAGGAGTCCCCCTGTGACCTCACCCCCCTGCCTGTGACATCACCCAGCAGGGGGCTCAGGGACCACCCTGCTGCTGCTCCTCCATTGCCATGGCAGACGCTGTCCCCACACCTGGCCTTGCCAGGATGAGCCTCCTCCCTGCTCTCCGGCCTGGCCCTGCCCTGTGACCTCTCTGCATCAGAGGTTGCCTCCCGTCTCCAGCCCAAGCCCACATTTCCACTCCTGGGGAGACAACCTCCCTCCCCTCAGCTCTCCCCATGTCTCAGGATCACGGGGCCATAGCACAGGGCTGCTGCAGTCACAAGGAGCCTTCTGACCCCAATCAGACCACCCTCTGCTCGAGCGGGGTCAGCTACAGCAGCTTGCCCTGGCCGGGGTCCAGTTGGGTTTGGAAGAGCTCCGCAGCTGGAGACTCTGCAACCTCTCAGGGTGACCTCACTGCACCTCCTCCAGGCTGAACATTCCCAGTGCTCTCGGCCTTTCCCTCCAACCAAAGCCCTCATTTTCCCTGGCCTTCCATGTACTTTTCTTGCACCTTCCGTTTCCTCGTTCTCTTCCCCTTCCCTCTCCTTCCCTGTTGGGCAGTTGGGCAGGTCAAGGTGGAGAGTGACCCAGACGGAAGGAATGCCAATCCCAGCCCGACGCCTGCTGTGGCTAAGCAAGAAACAGGTCCCTGGGGTGTGGCTTCCTGGGACAGGTTCATGTGGGCAGAGCTGTGAGGGAGCAATGTCTTGAGAACACCTGCACAATATTGCTGGCAGGGGTGCTGTACCTGCTGAACTTCACTCCAGAGGCAATGCAGGCAACATGCTCCGCCTGGATGTGGACCCCGAGTCACAGCCAGGCAGAGCCGAGGTCTCTTCAAGTGCCTTCCTTCAAGACTGAAAAGTTTCAGAGACCTTTCTTGGTGATTTCTGCAAGTTCAGCCTTCTTGGCTTTTTGTAGCAGTACAGGGAGATTGCCAGATGACGCTTGTTGTTGCTGTTTTGGTTGATGCTATTGTTATTATTTTCATTTTTATTAAACTAAGAAACACATGCCAAGGTGTCATTTAAGCTCTTTGTAGGTCCTCTCCCTGCTCACATTGCCCAAAGCGGGCTTCACACTTCCAACTCAAACAGTGAAGGCAGGTGTTCCCCTTAGCCCCATATTTCTTCCCTAGTTGAAGAAACTTCATGTCTCTCAGTAGCCAGAGAGATGCCAATTAAAGCAAATCCCAACCAATCCTGTTTCCCCGCTGTTTGTAATTTATCATCTATTTGCTGTCACACAAATCCAAGAATTTCAGGATAGCTTTACCAGTGGCAGCCTGATGAAGTGCAGAGGCAGTGCCTGCCAAAGAAGGGTGGCAGCTGGAGTTGCTTTCCTTCCCTTCAGGTCACCGCTAGCAGAGGTGTGGAGGAGTTAAATCATGCTGCTTAGAACAGAAGCAATATCTCACAGACCCAGAGCTTTGCCTTTTTTTGTTGTTTTATTTTTTGTTTGTTTGTTTTTGTTCTGAGAATATTGTATTTGCTGTAGTCGTGGAGTTTTAGAACTACTCTCTGGGATGACAGGAATTCAACTGTCCTTCATGCATGAGGTCACTTCAGAAACAGAGTGTTTTCAGATACCCGTACCACTGGCAGGAATGTGATCAATTTTATATTTGTCTACTGGTATTAATAGCAAATCCTTGTTGACTTCCAGTCTTCCTGAGTTCATAGCATCAATGCCATGTGATTTTTAAAGCTTCCATCTCTGTAAGCAGTCACGGATCCAAATTGGTATCTATGAAGTATGCTGCTTTTGCGGCATTGCTGCCTGCAAGGGTTCCATGACTTGAGGTCTCTGACTACATGGGCTTCTCTTGAACCATAGGAACCGCTTAGCATAAGAAATGTTTGGGTGGCAGTATTTTACAGATCCCTTGGACTTGGTTTTCCTGGATATCTTTAGCATATTGAAAAACAGAGGTTTATGTTTAAAATTAATAGTCAGGATTCCCAAGGTCCCACAAGTCAAACAGCCCAGGTAAAAGACTCCAGGTAGGAGGTTTCATATGCAACAGCAGACATCAAAATGCTGTTCTGGAATTCCATCAAGGTCTCTTGTCTGTTAAGGTCATAGCGAGTGTCTTGCTGTTGGGAAGATAAAGTTCTGAAACTGCGCTTTTGCCCCAGCTTTCACCGTACTGAGCACACTTGTTTGTCAAAAAGTAGCTTCAGAGTAAGTAAAAAGCAGAATTGGGAGACAGTAGGAAGACCGTGCTGCTTCTCCATATAAGAGAGCTGGGGCCTGACCATCTGCTCTGGGAAAATGAACCCCCTTGCACTCTGGGTCACTGGGGTTAAGGCTTTACTAATCATAATGGAAGGGAAAAAAAAAAAAAAGAAAAAGAAAACCAAAAAGAAAAAAACAAAAAAGAAAAAAAACCCACCCGCTTAAAACTGCATGCAGAGCCCTCCAAGAAAGGCAGAGAGCATTAAGGGTGTTCTGAAATAGGAAGTGGATGGCATTGCTCACGGTGGCAGCTCGGGGGAAAACCTTGTCCCACGCGAACCGCTGTGAGCTGGTTGCGACACGACGACCAGAAGATGGCAGCAGGTGACACTGAGAGCATCCAGGGATGCTCCGTTCACTGCAGAGATGCCCATTTTTTTCGTCGTCCTACAACAGAAAACTTTATTGATCTCTATCCTACAGGCAATTATAGGTAGGACACATGGAAAAAGAAAATGCTTACCTTAAAAGTCCAATTCCTTCTCCTTCACCCTGTGAAGGAAATTCTGGGAACTACAGCGATTCTAGGAACAATAACGCTCTGACCTCAAATCTACTGGCTTCTACCCTCAAACTCCTAGCCAATTTCTGCCTGCCAGTTACCTCATTTTTTTAGCGTTTTCCCAACAATAAAGCCTTCGAGAGAGCTTTTACAGCGTTAAGGTTTACTACTCCCTGCACTCTGCCCAGGAACACCAGCATACAATGCCACTTCTACAATGTCGGAACTCCCTGCACCCTTGCACGGAGACCACGCCATGAAGCAACACAGACTGCATTTCAGGATTTTCTTGCCTTGCTGCCTTGCTCTTTCTATGAAGGTTTCACCTGCATACAAAGGAGACTTAATGTGTGGCTATGAGATTCATGACATTTTTGATCCATTTTAAGCACAAACTGCACAGGGCTGTATGACTAGGGTAAATGAGAGTCTTTGGCGGTTTTACTCAGTTGGGCAGCTGAGTTCTACCACGGCTGCTCTCTGACTCCCCCTCCTCAAAGGGAAAGAGGGAGAAAATATGACACAAGGAGCTCAAGGGTTGAGATAAGGATGGGGAGATTGCTCAACAATTATTGTGATGGGCAAAAATGACTCAGAGTAGGGAGATAGTAAGATTTATTGCCTATTACTAACAAGCTAGAAAAGTGAGAAACGAAGGAAAGAAATGGCAGTGAGCCCTGGCAGCCAGGAGGGCCAACCATATTCTGGGGTGCATCAAGCATGGCATCGCTAGTCGGTCGATAGTAGTGATTGTCCCGTTCTACTCTGTACAGTAATCACCTAGAGTACTGTTTGCAGTTCTGGATACCACAGTAGAAAAGGATGTGAAACTGTTGGAGAGTGTCCAGAGGAGGGCTATGAAGATGGTGAAGGAAGACGTATGAGGAATGGCTGAGGTCACTTGGCCTGTTCAGCCTGGAAAAGAGGAGGCTGAGGGGAGACCTCATTGTGGCCTACAGCTCACAAGGGGGAGCGGAGGGGCAGGCACCGATCTATTCTCTTTAGTGACCAGTGATAGGACCCGAAGAAATGGAGTCAAGCTGCAGATGGGGAGGTTCAGGCTGAATCCCTGGAAGAGGTTCTTCACTGAGAGGGTTGTCGTGCACTGGAACAGGCTCCTCAGAGACGTAGTCACAGCACCAATCCTGTCAGAGTTTAAGAAGTATTTGGACTGTGCTCTTAGTCATATGGTCTGAATTTTTGGGTAGACCTGTGTGGTGCCAGGAGTTGGACTGGATGATCTTTGTGGGTCCCTTCCAACTCGTGATATTCTATGATTCTATGGTTCTATGAAACAAAAAATGCCTTCCCCCCATCCGCCCTCTTCCACGTTATATTGGGTCTGGCTAGGATGTTAACTTTACTTGCAGCAGCCCATACAGTGCTGTGCTCTTGACTTGTGGCTAGAACAGCAGTGGTATCACACCAGTGTTGTGTCTGCTGCTGAGCAGTGCTGGCACAACATTAGGACTCTCTCTAATCCTCCCATAGTCAGCAGGCTGGGGGTAGGCAAAAAGTGAGAAAGTGACATCACCAGGGCAGCTGACCTAAACCAACCAAAGGGATATTCCATAATATGATGTCACACTCAGCAATAAAGGGTGGAAAAAGGAAGAAGAGCAGAGGGGTGGGCTCTCATTGTGAAAACATCTGTCCTCCCAAACACTGGCTACGTGCATTGAGGCCCTGCTTCAAGAATGTGGTCAAGCGTCACTCGTTTGTGGGAAGCAAAGAGTAATTTCTTTCCTCTGCACTTCCACACAGCCTTTACTTGTTTTGTTTTTGTTGTTGTTTTTGCCATTTTCCCCTCTCTTTTACCCTTTCCCTTTTTTTTCCCCTTTAGTTAAATTGTTTAATTAATAATAATCTTTCCTTAACGATTATTTTCTCATTAATTAAACTATCCTTTGAGAGGATACCCGTGAGTTGTTCTTTTCTCTACTTCTTCCCCTTCTCTTCTGAGGAGAGGGAGTGAGACAGAGGTTGTGGTGGACCTAGCAAGGTAAAACCAGCACACACCTCCTTCCACTGAGCAGTGCAGGGGAATGGGAAAATGGAGGCTGTGGTTAAGTCTGTAGCACTTCATCTCCACCGCTCCTTCTCAGTCACTCTCTGCCCCTGCTCCACGTGGGGTCCCTCCCACAGGATGTCATCCTTCTTGAACTGATCCTGCGGGGGCTGCCCACAGGCACCTCCAACATGGCTCCGTACCACGGGGTCCATCCCCCAGGAGCAAACTGCTCCAGCACGGGTCCCCCATGGGTGGCAGCTCCCCCCAGACCCCCTGCTCCTGTGTGGGCTCCTCTCCATGGGCTGCAGCTCCGGCCTAGGGCCTGCTCCTGCGGGGGCTCTCCATGGCCTGCAGCCTCCTCCAGGCCACATCCACCTGCTCCACCGAGGGCTCCTCCATGGGCTGCAGCGTGGAGATCTGCTCCGCCATGGTACTCCACAGGCTGCAGGGGGGCAGCCTGCTCCACCAGTGGCCTCACCACAGGCCACAGGGGACTTCTGCTCCGGTGCCTGGAGCACCTCTCCCCCTCCTTCTTCACTGACCTTGGTGCTTGCAAGGCTGTTTCTCACTCCCAAAAGAAAGAGTCTCCTAGCTGCTGTGTGACAGAGTTTTTTTTTTCTTTTTTTTTTTTTTTTTTTTCCCTTTCTTAAATATGCTCTCACAGAGGCAGAAACAATATCGCTTATTGGCTCATCTCTGGCCAGCAGCAGGGTCCTTATCTGGCATGGGGCTCCTTGGGACTGCACAGGAGGGTCATCTAAGACCTTTTGCTCTTCCAGTAGCATTGATCCTCAGAGTCTATTATAACCTGTGACTGTCCTTCTAGGTCCAGATATTATTTCAGCTGCTTTCAGAAGCACAAAACCACTGCGGGAGGCAGGTCCTCCCCATCAGGTTGAGTCACCCAACAGATAGATTCCTGCCTGCCTTCCCAAATGGTGTGTACTCCAGTCTCCCTTTGAAGAGTTTTTTGCAGTGTCCAGTTGTGCAGCCTAGGTCAGCCTATGAAGATACTCCAGCAGACAGAAAAAAAAAAAGAAAAAAAAAAGAAGGTTACAGCAAAAAAGTGTTATCAGTCTTGTTCCAGCACTCACTAGCTAGAGTCCAGGGAGGGCTCGCAAACATGACTGTACTCAAAAGGAGAACATCCATCTTTGGCCTAGCAAGATGTTTCCTGTCCACATTTCCCATAAAAAATGTAGAAACATGGAATAGTTTGGATTGAAAGGGACCTTAAGGATCATTTATTTCCCAGCCCCTGCCATGGACAGGGACACCTCCCACTAGAACAGGTTGCTCAAAGCCCCATCTAACCTGGCCTTGAACACTTCCAGGGATGGGGCATCCATAACTTCTCTGAGCAACCTGTTCCAGTGCCTCACCACCCTCTGAGAGAAGAATTTATTCCTAATATCTAATCTAAATCTACTGTCTTTTAGTCTAAAGCCATTACTCCCTGTCCTATCACTACACTCTCTGACAAAAAGTCCTTCTCCAGCTTTCCTGTAGGTCCCCATTAACTGCTTGAAGGCCGCTCTACAGTCTCTCTGGAGCCTTCTCTTCTCTAGACTGAACAACCCCAGCTCTCTCAGCCTCTCTTCATTGGAGAGGTGATCCAGTCCTTTAATCATCCTCGTGGCCCTCCTCTAGACTTGCTCCAGCAGGTCCGTGTCCTTGTGTTGGCAACTCCAGAGCTGAAAGCAGTACTTCAGGTGGGGTCTCATGAAGGTAAAGTAGAGGGGGAAAATCATGTCCCTCAACCTGCTGGCCACAATTCTTTTGATGCAGGATACAATTGGCTTTATGGGCTGCTTGTGTACATTGTTGGCTTGTGTTGAGCTTTTTCATCAACCCCCACGTCCTCCTCAGAGATACTCTCAGTTCATTCTCTGACCAGTCCAGGCTGTATTGTTCTTGGGATTGCCCTGACCTAGATGTAGGACCTTGCACTTGGCCTTGTAGAACTTCAGGAAGTTCACACAGGCCCACCTCTCAAGCCTGTCAAGGTTCCCCTGGATGTCATCCCTTCCCTACAGCATGTCAACCACATCACATAGATTGCTGTCATCTGCAAACTTACCAAAGTTTGATTCAATCCCACTGCCCATGTTACCAACAAAGATGTTAAATACTGGCAGTTCCAATACTGGATATGGAGGAACAACACCTGTAGTCACTAGTCTCCACCTGGACATCAAGCTGTTAACCACAACTGTTTGAATTTGACCATCCAGACAATTCCTTATCCACCGAGTGGTCTATCCATCCAGCCCATGCCTCTCCGATTTAGAGACAAGGATATTGCATAGGAAAATGTTACATGCTTTGCATAAGTCCAGATAGCTGACATCAGTTGCTGTTCTTGTATCCACTGATACTGTAACCCCATCATAGAAGGCCACCAAATTTCTCAGACATTATTTGTCCTTAGTGAGGCCATGTTGGCTTTCACCAGTCATTTCTATGTTTTCCATGTGCATCTGGTCCATGTTCTTGCTAGGTACGGAGATCAGACTGCCAGGCCTTTAGTTCTCCAGATCTTCCTTTTTCACTTTTTTAAAAATGGGTGTTATGTTTCCCATTTTCCAATCAGTGGGAACTTCACTGGACTGCCACAACTTCTCAAATATGGTGGACAGTGGATTAACAACTTCATCTGTCAGTTGCCTTGGGGTCTATGGATGCATCTCATCAGGTCCCATGGACCTGTGCACCTTCAGGTTCCTTGGTCTCAGACTTGATCTTCTCCTACAGTGGGTGTTTTTTCATTATCCTACTCCCTGCCTTTGACTTCTGTAACTTGAGCAATGTGGCTAGAGCTCTTACTGGTGAATACTTAAGCAAAAATTCATTGAGTACCACAGGCTTCTCCATATCTCAAGTAACCTTTTCTTTTGCTTCCTTCATGAGAGGGGCCACATTTTCTGTAGCCTTTGTGCCCCCACGGGTACAGTACATCTCCTTGCTGTGTAGTGCAAGTGGTCTGCAGCTTCGGGAGTCCAGAAAGGACCGTCTGGCTGGCAGAATAGGCTGCAGGAACTCAAGAGCTTCTTTGTTTGCTTCTGCCCTGGAACTCAAGTGCTCAAATACCATTGCACACTGAGCAATCCCTTTGCAGACTCCTCCCCACTAGACTGTGCTGGTGTCACTGTTTAAACAAAACACTTCAGTGATGGGTACTCCCTCCTGTTGGTGAGAAATAGTTTCTGTCCCCCAGTCTCCTTCTTCCCACTTTGCTGCCTGACACTTGCAAGGCATGTCTGGGGCATAGAATGGCATTGCAATGGCTTTTATTGGACCATTAGACCATAGTGGTGGTTTTGACAAGAGTCTTGCCTTTCCTTGGTGATGTGGAACAAGAGCTTCTTCTTCCTTAACAGTGACACTCCCACATGCAATCACTATGGCTGATTTATTAATACTCCTCTTTTGGGGAAATGAAACAACTGACTTCTTTCTTTGGTGTGCCCCTGTCTTGCAGAAGGTGATTTCTCCCAGGAGCTTCTTAAATTCAGACCCTCTATTGACAGCCTGGAGAATAAGCCATGGAGAAATGTTCCTTGTTATGGTTGGAAATTTCCTTATCCAGGGCTATAGCATCATATGTCAAGCACTGGAACACAGAAGCCACATACACAAGGGGATCCAGCCCCAACACCTGATGCTTATTTCCCTTTGCACAGCTGCTTGTTTTTGTGGCTCACAGATGAAAACTATCCCAGTCCTGGAGAAGAAACTCATTTTGGTCATTACTTCCTCCTCTTCAAAAGTGTCTGCAGAAGACAAATTTCATGTCCCATTTCCTTCTCAGGTGTTTTGAAAGATAATACAACAATACTTGCTTAATAATAATACTTCCTTTTTTGTGGAACTGGTTTGTCTAAACATTCTTTTCAGTGGATAGCTCAATTCTGTCTTCTTGGCATTTTTACCTATCTGTGAATTGCTTTCTCTGTTTTCTTTCTGTACCAAGGTCGTACAATGGGTATAAGCAACTCAGGCACTGGAGATTTCTTTTGTGATAGAGGCTTTAGCCCCAATTAAGGATATAAATATCCTTTTTGACAAGATGAATAGGAACCAGTGGGAGTCTATACCTTCCTTGCACTATAAGAGGAAACAGCTCATCCTTTTTTTATGTGTTGATACACTCTCTGGCAAGTCCTTTTCTAATTTATATGGTTCAGGAAAGTAAACTTCTAGGTTTCCTAACAATGTAACTGTAGTGGGTGTACATGGCAAGGTTTTGGTAGCAGGGGGTCCATAGGAGTGGCTTCTGTGAGAAGAATCCAGAAGCTGCCCCATGTTAGATAAAGGTCCCACTGCTGGCCAGAGCTGAGCCAAAAAGCAATGTTGTTTCTGTCTCTGTGAGGCAGAAAAAAAGAAAAAAAAAAAAAAAAAAAAAAAAAGAAAAAAAAAAAGATCAGGTTGATTTTCTATATTTTTCCTTATGAATAACAAAGTTGTTGGTGTTCTCACTGAAGTACCTCATTAAAATTTGAGACAATATTTGCTACAATAATTGTTCAGAATTGTTCCAGATGTGTTCTCTATATCAGATCAGTACCATTTAATTAGCTAATCTAACATAAGTACATGTGCAACACAAGCAAAGTTTGATTTCCAGGAACCTTGGCTGATTTTTCAATATTTTATCTTAAAATATAGTTTTTGGATGTTCTAATTACACAGCTGACAGAGCAATTGAAAGATTTATTTATTTATTTATTTATTTTAAGACTGATCATTTTGATTTTAGCATTGATAAAAATAATAATTTTTATGTTAATTTTCATAGTACGTAAAAGGAAAAATTAAAGACTAAAATCTCAGTTGTGTGGGTCCAGAAGTACAAAGGAGAGCTACTTCTTATCCCTGCTCATCTTTTTAACCCTTGCACTCGTAACATGGGATAGATTAGTGTACATAAGCGTCATGCCCATTAGGTTATTCAATCAAGTGGTACCATATGTGCGTTCTTCATTTTTGTTAAATAGTACAAACTGTACCAGCAATTCCAGTCATCCTGTTTTCAACATGCGCATGCAAAGTTTCACAACTGCAACAGTGTTAAACAACGTAATGAACCGGGGTTAAAACACTGTGAGTAATCTATTCTCCCGTTCCTGTTTTCATGAAAGCATGTACCTGTTTTCATGACAGCATGTACTTATCTGCCTTTCTGCTTTAGTTAGAATCACTGACATTTTAATCAGCTATATGTTTTGCTGTTGCACTAGAAGGCATTGTCTTATGGTCTTAGTTATGACAGCTGTTACAAACTTTGCCCTAGGACAGTTTTGGGATAATAGAAATCACAGAATCACAGAATTGTAGGGGTTGGAATGGACTTCAAGAGATCATTGGGTCCAACCCCCCTGCCAAAGCAGGTTCCCTAGAGCAGGTTGCCCAGGTAGGCATCCAGACGGGCCTTGAATATCTCCAGAGAAGGAGACTCCACAACTTCCCTGGAAATAGTACAGCAAAACACTGACCTATCAGGATATCAAAGAATCACTGTTCTCCAGAGAAGTGTAGTGAACAGTGGACCCAGGGGACACAAAACAATGGAGCAGCTGGCTAATTTCTCATAAAATGTAATGTGAGATCCCTCCTTGGCTAACGAGGTCCCCTGTTACTTTTTTCCCCTGTAGGATTGTTAGTTCACCTCATAGAAAGGTAGTTTCTACAGCTGTGTCCATTCCTGTGAGGGAGATTTATGAAACTTATTTTCCTGGAGAATCACTTCACTGTGCAGACTCAAAACCTGAGTGTTAGTGTATGCTTTTCCTCATATCATTGATCTGGAGAAGAAATGACATGTGAAGAAATGTATTCCAAAAATGGAAAAAAAAATATGTCAGGTTACTGAGCAAAAGTAAATATCTTCTAAGATGTGGCCCTTGTCAGTAGGTCCTTCTAGTTCAGTAGTTTCTAGTCTGAAACATCTAAGATGAGGATCGGATCCAACATCAAACAGAAGTGCTTAGTTCTTTTTGACAACAGTGCAGCTTGCCAATTTTAAGATACAAGTTTACATTCTGGTTTACTATTGGCACATTCTGGTAGGATACAGAAAATAAAGCATAATCACAACTTTGCTGCTGAATACGTCTTCCCAAACTAAAGGACAGCCAAAAGGTTTAAAACATGTTATTCAATTCTTTGCTTCATGACTGAACCTGAAGTAATAAGGAATTAAACACTATCTTCCTAAAATAAAGTTCTAATAAAAACAAAGTTATAATAAAAACAGAGGTATTATAAAGAGGTATCTGTGTTTTCTTCAGTTGTAGCAGAAAGAAATATGTGACAGTCAGAGAGGGTAGAAGTGAGGTAAAGAGGAAGAAAGAGAATATAGCAATCAGTGAGAGGGGAACTTTTGCTTGGCACTATCCAAACTGAGGAAGTTCAGATGTATTTTGATGTCTGTGCTGTTTCATTTGTGTCTGCTAGTATAAGGAGACCCTGCAAAGGAGTAGATTTTCTTCCTAGCTCACTAGCTTTTTTCTTCTAGTTCTTTTTTCTTCTTTTTTGTTCTGATGCTTTTTCAGCTTTACCAGCTATGACAGATGAAATAATATATGCCAATCTGAAATTTGAAAACTGCTATGAGCTGGATAATGTCCCAGAGCCTGAAGTTCCTAAGGAAAAAGGTGTAGTATCTATTAAGCTTTTATGATTTATTCTTGCTAATGTAGATAGAATGGGGAATACTTTTAACTTAATTGCATGCCCAATGGGCCTTTGTTAGCTTTTAGAAGAGTTATACTAGTTATACATGTGTCCTGTTTTTTGTTGCTTTCATTTCTACCTGAACTTTTCAGAGTTTGGAAGGTGTACCTCAAACAATTAACTTATTATTTAATGAAAATATATATTTTCATTAAATGAGTTATTAAATGAGAGTTATACTAAGTTTGACAAATAGTTCTAATTGTTTAAGCCTCAAAAAGTGTTAAGTAAATTTTTAAAGTTTATCAGATCCATTTAATTCCTTCATATGCTTACATTCCAGTTTAGAAATCAAATAACTTTAATTGACTTGATTGCTCTCCTTAAGTTCTAGCCTGAATTAATGCAGTGGTCTCTGAAATGGTTATATTTATTAAAGCAATGAATGTATTTTAAATTCTGGGAGTTCTGCTTAATTTGTGTCAAATTGCTTACAAGTGTCTGTGAAGATGAGCTCTTGATTTGAATGATGCAGCTGATGAGCACAAAGGACATATAAAGTGCAAACTGTGGAGTCAGGCTCTGGGAGCAGAGTTTACAGACAAGAGGACAAGATACTTGTGATTTAAAGAGAATTTTGTACGGAAATCTTTGTAAAATAGCAGTGTTCCTTAAGTTACAGTTTTGAATATTTCCAAAATATAATTCAGGGGCTAACAAACAAACAAACAAACAAAACAAGCATATAAACTAAACCAACAACAACAACAACAACAACAACAAAAAACTTAACTGTCTTTGCATTAAGCTCTAATCTCTTTCTTTAACATCTGATGGCAGCAATATCCTCACGTGTCCCCATATGTACTCCTACAGTGTCCCAGAGTGGAAAACATATATTTCATGAGAAAGCCCCATCCTGAGATGGCGCAAGCATCAAAATGGGGGAAGAAAGGAAAGAGAAAAACAAAACAAACAAACAAAAAAACCCACAATCTATAAATATATCCATTCTGGGACCACAAGAGGCCTACTGCAGAGGAAGGAGGACCTAGCCCAAGAATCATTTGGCTGTGCCAGATGTAGCAGCAGTAGTGTGAGGTTGCACAGTATTTTACATGGAACCTTTACTTAAAAAAACTCAATAAGGCAATACTTCAAATAAAACAGTCAAAGCTAAAACTACTCCTCAGTCTTACTTCATACTGCTCTCCAGAAAATATTTTGTATTTATATATGAAACCTCATGATCAGACCATAAAATCTTTCTTCTCATCTAAATGTTTCAAGGAATGTGGGCTATAACACTTTCAGTCTTCAGCCTGGAACTCTAGCTTTGTAGGGGTGGGAGCAATTTATTTTTGTTCTTTAACTCCAATTCATACTAGTCTACTTATAAGCCTGTCTTATTGAGTTAAATTTCTACTACTGAGGCTCTCCAGATACCTAATATTCATCTTCAGAACACGTATAGAAGCACCTTGACTGTAAAAAATATATGTGCCAGCAGTCAATGTATCCTTATGTCTTGTTAGGATGTGAAAAGCATATGGTTCTCCTGTGCAGACTTTATCTCCAATTGCCTTTTATTGCTCACTGCCTGTGAGATAAGTCTTTCAAAATAATGCAGAAGGGAAGTGTTTTTTAGTCAATGGCCTGGGTATTTCTACTTTTATACAATACTAAGTATTTATAGCCCCTCTCTAGAGTGGGGCTGTATTTTATGATGAAATGTGGGAGCCGGGAGAGAGGAAGATGTAACATATATTTAGCAAGACTTTTGTCAGTGTCTCTTGCTGATATTGTCATTTTAAAGCTGAGGAAGTAGAGGCTGGGTAGTGGGCCGTTAGGTGGGTTGAAATCTGTGTAGACTACTAGGCTCAAAGGGGAATAAATGATGTCTGAATGTCTGTTTGGTGGCTAGAAATAAGCCGAATACCTCAGGGGCTGATATTGAGACAATAGTGTTCAATCTAGAACCTGAAAAATCACACTAAGCATGTCCTCAGCAAATTTATAATGATACTAAATCAGGGGCAGTGGTTGACCAAATAAATGACAGAACTTCAATACAAAGGAACTTTGAGAAATTTGAGGACTGGGTAAACAGACACTCCATCAAATTCCACAATATGAAGCATGAAGTTGTGCAGTGGGGCTGGACTAATCCCAGTCAGTGATACAAACTGGGAAGCAATCAGGCTGTGGAGAGCCCTGCTGGAACATTTATGGTGAATGGAGGGGTTAAATATGAGCCAGCAGTGATTTACTATTGCAAACATGCTTTCATTGTAAGCTGCCTACTGAGCTACATGAACAGGATAATGGCCAGCATGTTGAAGGAAGTTTTTACTTCCTTAGATGCAGTACAAGCACATCAACACTTTGAATACTATGCCACAGTTCAAGACGTCTGGTATTTGAATTTCTTTCGATTGTTATAGTTCCTCAGCTTGAGTTTCTACAGTGTGAGGTCTTGTATTACATTCTGCTTGGGCTTGCTTCACCACAGATGTTGACCACAGATTGCACATTTCTCTTCATAGTTTCCACTCCTGTTCCTTCATCCTTTCAGTTCCTGTTCTTTAAGCACTTCACTGTCCAATTTTAAATCCACCTTTCTCTTTTCTAGACTAGCAATTTCTTCTCCATGTTTCTTTTTTTTAACTGACTTTATTGTACTAAGTCAAGCTGTTTGCAACTGTCCACAAAGCTTGTATTGTGGCAGACTTAATATCTGCCTTGGATTTAGTGCTTTCCCATTTTTATGAAATACTAGCTAGAAACCTTAAATACCAAGAATTGCCACAGGACTTTACTATGGCATGCAAATTTACCAGATTACCACAGAAATATATTGCACATCACAAATTGCCACAACAATGTATTACATATTTGTTTTAATCTTTCAGTAATTTGTTTTCTAAAGTTCACAATACCTTGATTTCACAGTTTATTGCCTTGTAAAGGACTGAGGCTGTCTACTTTCTCCACTGAGTTGCTGTGGTCTCTCAATTTCTTACGTTGTCTGGCCATCTACTACTGTGTGCAAAGACTCTCTGCAGCAGGAATATACTACCGTAATATAGAAAACAATGATTTATTAACTAACACATCACAAAGATCTCTGGAATTTAATGAAGCTAATGTGTGTTCACCATTCCCTTAGTATCACAATACCAATTCATGACTGAATTATTCCTAGGACTTCCCACTTCATCCCACTCTTGGTGGCCAGTAGTCCTGATTTTGATCACAATATGCGTGGCATTGCTGATGGGGCTGATGACTCTGGCAATTTTATGTAAGTACCACTGCATTTTTGTTTGCTGGGGGGCTCAAGCTACTGAATGATGTCAGATGGACATCTCCTTCAGATGCAATTTCTGGTTCAGCTGAGAACAGGTAAACCAAGACAACAGTAGGTCAGCCTTCCCAGATATATCCACTTGCCACAGCATCTTTGTTCTCTTCTAGATGTGATGAGGCTGGAAGTGACCAATAAGGAGAGGAGGTGGAAAGAAATGGAATAGGAGATTAACTGCTTTCTGTGGCTGCCGTTGTCTGGTCTCTAAAACTGCGTTCACAATCTTGCTGTACTGACTAATGACGGGTTAATTTCCTGTTGACAAGTTCGAGTAATTCTGGATCTGAAGGGAAAGGAAAGGCTCTGTGTCACAGTAAAGAGGCTGTTTCCTTTATTTAACATCTGTAACAATTCCAGTGTGTGATCCAGAGCTAAGTTCATGTTTTTAGAAAAGAAGCAAAGTCTGGAAAACAATACCATGGAAATATATGCTAAAATTGACACTGATTTTTTTATTAATTCATGGTCAAATGAGAAATAGAATTCCACTAGTCAAACAGCAATAACTGTAGAAATACACTATGCAAATGTTCTCCACCTCAGCAGCCCTTACAAGTAACTGTTCAGGGAGGAACATCTCTCATATTGTTTATTTTTCCCTACTAACCTGCTAAGCCATTTCCTGGTGAACAGCACAGGGAGTTTTTACTGTGAGTTTCAGTTTCCAAAGGTTCCAAGGATTACAGGACACAGATTCGAGACCTCAACATGACAAAGAATGATCTGCATGCAAATTTCTCAAAAATCCTGCAAGCAATTGGAAATCAGCTATGCTTGGGAGGAAGAAAAGATCTTCAAAATAATGGTAAATTAATATGTTTCCATGAGGTTTTGCCTTTCAATATGACAGGGAAGAAAATGAGATGTGTCTTCTGTGTCTACTCAGGTCTGCCTCCCCAGGTAAGACAGGAATATCCTAAAGTCTGAGCAGATGTGTGCTGAAGCATCAGCTAAAACAGCCTGAGAGTTTGTTTACTGTCTCCTGACTGTGTCCAGTGTAGAACTGTTTGTGAAATCAGTTTGCCACAGCTCAGTTACTTAAGTGGCATCTGACAGTGAGCCAGTGAGAGAAGCAGTTGCCTTCAGAAACTACATTCAGAGAAGTAAGAAATCCTGTTGTGACTGTTGAGAAGGGGGTTTTCATTTGTACAGATACTGTTCAACATACAAACTAACTGTCTAGGACTCCTGCTTAGTCAATGAAGAAAAACTGTCTGTGCAAGGATACAGTCCATTTCCTTCCAAGAAAGACAACTGAAATGACAAAAAATGTTTTTCACACCTGTTTTTTTCCATTGACTAAAATATGAATGCAGATGGGTTCATTCACATGAAGTGAAATCACCATTGCAGAATCCTGAAATAAATCTCATCTGCAATACCTGAATCTCCCTCAAGGCCTAATGAAATGAGATAGGCAGTGATTAAGTTTTCATCACTTTCATTACCCAGACCTTCTGGGACCTCACTGAGACTTTGACTGAATGAGGACAGTTGCAAACATCCCCATTCTATAGGAATTTTGTTGCCACAGGTCGAGAATGATCAAGGGCAGCCTAGGAGCAGCAATGGAGTGATGGTTTTCTTTTCCAGATCTAAACTGTGTGCTCTGCCCTACAAACTGGAATTGGCCAGGTGATGGTGATATGTGTTACTACTACTCTACTGAACAGAAGACATGGCAACAGAGTCATGGGTTTTGTTCCTCACAAAACTCTACTCTTCTGCTGGTAAAAGAGATGGCAAAGCTGGTATGGCCTGTTTTCTGACTCCTTAGCGTGAAAGAATCTGCCCTATTGCAAGAACAGCAGTGTTAGCCTGATGAATTTGGTTGAGGGCATAGACCGTGTACATTAGGACAGTCCCAGTTCTTCCATTACACAGCAGAGGGACTATGAAGTTAGCAGTTTCCTGGCACTTCACATATCATTTTTGTAAATGGCACTGTGAGCAGGAAATTTTCTGCAGTGTTTATGTTGCTCTGTGAAGGGCTAAGACATAGATCTTGTCACTGCCCCAAAAAATGCTGCCCTTCCAGTTGCTGGTGGTCAGCAACAGCACATCTTACCATGGCTTGCTGTGGTACTTACTACTAGAATAACTGGTGAAAGTAGGTTTATGTCTGTTTAGTCATTAATTTAACAAGTGTTATGGATCCTTACGAGGATTTGCTAAGATGTGAGTGTGAAAACCTCTTTCAACCTGTTCTCCCAATAGACAAAACATAGTTATCCCAATTTTGTGAAAGTTCTTTCCACCAGAGTTAGTCTCATGTTCTCAAATAAGAAGAAAACACTTGGAAATTAGTTGCTGAAGTCTGGCTTAACATTTTAGGAAGTGAAAAAAAACTTGGTTGGGAAGATAAAATGCCAGGTGTAGACTGAAATAATGCTTTTACCACAAGATTACAGCACACCCATTGGAAGTGAAGGCAGAAAATATATTCCAAGAGCTAGTGGTTAGAGCTTGGCCTGTCTGCCCTCCAACACATGACAATGGCAATTCTCCTCTTTATGAGCTGCATGGTGCAATGTTTCCTCCAGAATGAAGAGAAAGTAACTCTATTCTCATCTTCCCAAATTGGTTACTATAAAGATCGAGAGGTGCAGTTTGTTCTACCTTTCTTAATCAGGGCACCAAGAGAGATGAAGAAAAAAAGAAAATGGAGAAGCACCCTAGGAGTGACAATGGGAAGTGAAGGAGGAGAGCAACAGAAAAAGAAAAGAAAAAATCTTCAGAGGTTTCCCTCAAGTAGGAGGGAGAAAGGCAGCATCATTTCAGTTTACCTTCTTACCAGTTCTGGTCAGAGAATTTTTTAAGAAGAAAACATCACTAACTGCCTAACTGTAAAACCTCCTCTAGTTGTCATGTTTCAGCTTTTGGAAATTAGTAAATGGTGCTACAGCCACATGTAAATGTTCCACAAATCAAACCCAATAGTTCCTTGGAGCAGCTTTCCTTTCACTGATGAAAAGTGCTAAGGGCAAAGTAAAAGGGGAGGAATGATGCACAACTGAAAGGGAGAACAGCAATTCAGTATTTCTCTCAAAGGGTTTAGATCAGGTAGATAAGGGTGACATTGTCTTTCAGGATCGTAAGTGTATCTTTGTGATTAAAAATAGTTCTCCTATCACCTCTCCTTGGATAGCAGGCCTTTCCTTTAAGAGCAGAAATTGTCATGATAGGTTAGCAATTTGTCATTATTTATGTTCTTTGAGCAGTTTCCATCACGGTTTCCAACTTCTGAGACAATGTCTTGATTATCTATTTTGAATTATTCTTACTCTGCATAGGAACTGGTTAAAAAATTTCCTAGAACATTCTGGCTTGGATTATCATTTAGAGCTGATAAGAAAGGCTGGTTCTGGGCAGACAACACAACTGTTACAGAAGAACAAAAGTCTTGGTAAGTTTTAAAAACGTGGGCAGATATTTCCTGCAGTACATAAATTTGGTCCTCACCCACGTGCTACTCTCACTTTTTTTAACACCAAAAAGACATAGGATAACCAACTTCTATGCAATTTTTTGTGTATTCAGGGTCCTCTTTTTCCATTTCAGATTTTTCTTGGCCTCACTAGGCTAATCTAGGCACTAGTACTGGGGAGAAAAAAAGGTGCCTGACAGTTTCTATTCACAATTTAGTTTCAGACTGACCATAAATGTCATACATTTCTCTTGTATTTGATATCTTGCCTCAGTGAAGATACATGGAAAAATTCCAACAGAAAAGCATTTTGTTTTGTGTTTTTGTTTTTAATTTATTATTATTATTATTATTATTATTATTATTATTATTATTATTATTATTATTATTATTATTATTATTTGTTTTGTTTTGTTTTAATATAAGGCACCATTTATTTTCTAGAATCACCTCACTTCTGTTTAACATTTTATTTCAGAAATACAATATATTTTTTTTCTTGCTTTCCAGCCTGCTTTTTCATTTTTGGACAGTGTCCTCTTAACTGATACCCTACACTCAGTACACAGCAGTTAGTGTTTCTTACTGTCAAGCACAGGAAAGGTTTAGAATCCAGCCTTACAGTCTGCTGGGAGTGTTTGTTGGCATATTCACGATAAGGCCAGCCTCCTAGGTGTTATTGCATTATGTTGCTAAACTCTGTTTCTTTGTTGAGGTTATGCATTCTTTGTGAAAGATAAATGAGGACTTCTTGCAAAGACAGCTCTTTCTGAAAAGTGTGAAAATGCACAGTTTGAATGAGATGGGATAAAATAATAAAGATTTTTGCTTCATAGGACAAATCATTTACAACGTTCCCTCCTCTGTGGATATATTTACCATCATGCAATATACAGCCGTGCATGTGAAGCAGTTGATTACTATGTCTGTGAAAAGCCTGCCATCCAGTTGCAGCGACGTAACAACCACCAGCAAGAGGAATGGTTTGTCAGATCAAGAGGATTATGAGAGTTTAGAAGATATTCAACAAGGTTGATTTTTTTTTTTTTTCAAAATTATCACATAAGAATTTAAATATGTTGGGTCAGACCTAATACATTTTACCATTTTCATTTTCTTTCAGACACATGTAAAAATGTCTTCACATTAAGGAAACATACTGTGATGGGCTCCAGGAGTGATCCATGTCTGTTTTTTCAGGTTCAAAATGTCTAAACTATTACTCAGTTTTAGCCAACTTCAGTGATGGACAAAATAGGCAAAAGTGGTTGCCCAAGAAAAAGAAAAAAAAAAGCACAGTATCAAGGCAAACACATGAAGAAATTGCTCCTAGCACCATCCACTGATAACAGTCTTAATACCACTTGTTGGAACTATGCAGTTGGAACATAACACCAACTATGAGGATTAAATGCTTCCATTCAGGACAGGCTTCTGAGGTCTTGTTGGTCTGACAGTACTAGGATGGAATATACAACACACAAACACAGTCATTCTCAAAGGGTGGGCCAGGGTGTTCACAAACAGTATAAATAATGGTAACTCACCATTCACTTCTCTGTGGTAACATTTCATAGCAGTTCCTTTCAATTTGTGTTGTACCTGTTCCTGTCTTTTGCAGATAAAATGCAGGCCTTCTGCCCAGTGACTTCCCAGAGTCTCTCTTGGTCTTTATACTAGGTATACGAGAAATCTGACGTAGAAGCTGTCCTGAACATGACACATCCTTTCTTGCTAATGAAAGGCCTTTTGCCATAAATAATTTGTCATAAATAAATAAATAAATAAATAAATAAATAAATAAATAAGTCTGATTTTATTTTCTCTAACAGTAGAGTTACTGCAAGGTAACAGAAAAGATGTTTCTAGGATGTTTCTTCGTTTGTGAGATAGGCCTAAGAGCAGATAGGACTTTGTCAAAGACAGACATGCACTTTGTCAAAGACAGACATGAGCTGAGATTGACAGCTGTCCACACAACAGGCAGCCACAGAGCTACATCGTACCTTTCTGCAGCCTTGGTCTTTCAGGTGACCTTACTTCTTGTCCAAAACCACTCTCTGGTGCAGGAACTATATTTATTACTGTTAAGGCAGCTGGGGTTAGAGTAGTTTCACAGTGCACTGTGCTACTAAAACAGAAGCAGCTAGTTTTTTCTTCTCAAAAAATAATAACTAAAACACTCAAACAATCGATAAACAAACAAACAAAAACACTCCAGAGAAGGAGGGAAGGCAGTGTCCTACCTACAGTTGTTCACATACTGAAGTGAAAAATGTAGTCCAGCAAGGCTGAAGATGGCAAAGAACATATCCTAGTGGTGGTGAAACATTGTAGGATTTAAAGGTGCATTGTCTGACTGTATTTTACATTAAAAGAAATTTTTGCTCACAGAGGAAGAAACATTAGAAATTTTCTTATTATGTATCGGTTGTGATGGCATTTTTGAATCAGTAGTATACAGCAGTGTGTTTCACTTTTCTAAAATCTACTCCCCCTGCCTCCCAAGTGATAAACTCTAGCTATTGCAATTTACAAGGTCACGTTCTAGTTAATAGAGACATTTTGTTCTGACAGCTTTTATATAACGTTTACACAACTGTTATGTTCAAGTGTAGACCAAAACTTCCTGTCTTCATCTATCTTCCTTGCCATTTTAGTCTGAAGAAACAAGAAATTTTGCCTTCCTGGATCATTAAATGGACAGAGTGACGGTGAAACCTCATTCTAATGCCTTTATTAAAAACTGTTACTTCTGTTCTTGCAGCAGAATCTATTTTAAAGGGTGGCTCTGTAATAACAATAATAATAATAATAATTTAGCAGGCTGCTTATTGAATTCAGATCTATGAAAATAATACAGGAGAATGCCTTTTACGTCCTATTTTCCCTCATGAAAATTGTGTGAGATAAAAGTTATCACAAAAGATTTTCATTCTGTGCTTGAGAAGTTGTTGCAAAGACTAAAGAGGTTACTGTTTTGGAAAACTGCAGCCTAATACAGTAGCATAGACGTATTTGATTCTCAGATGTATTTTAATTCTTGTTATCTGCAGAAAAGCTCTTGACACTAAGGTGCCAAGTCAAAATTTTCAGGGCTGATGCACAAGAATTTTTGCACCATATTTAGTATGAGGCATTCATGAGGTATTATGAAGGCATCACGAATACACACTGAATGCTACACCTTTTGTATTTGGCTGCATAGGAAAACCGATTGAAAATATCCTTTACACCCAGCTTTTCCCTCACACCTTCTCTTTGCATATGGGGAACATAACTCAAGATATACATGCAGCCAGAAGTATTTCTGTTCTGAAAAAATCTACCATCTGCACAAGAAGATAGTAAGAACAGCTCAGTCATTATAGTGTATTTCCATTCTGTTGTTATTTTGCAAACAGGAAACTCTGAAATTTACACAGGAACAGGAACAGCTACCACAGAAATTCCTCTCTTGCATTTTCCTTCTGACTCACTATATCACCACAATGTGAATCACCGTGTCTGGGCAGTTGCTCTGTTACAGAGAGTCAGGCACTGTCTGAAGACATTTAAGGTCTAGATCCCAGCAGTGGAAGAAGGCAAATGACTGAGTCAGAGAGTGCGGATGGATAAGCCATTTCTGTGCTGTGACTTCTGCATACCCTGCAACAGCAGAGCGATCCGCAGTGTTGCCTTGTCTTTCTCTGACCCAGGCTGAGTGGCCATATCAATCCTGTCAAGCTCCTGGTTTCACCATCCTGTCAGTCTTTTTCTTCTCTCCCCTGCAGTTTGAACTTTTCTTTCTCCTTCCTTCTTTTCTTTTTCTTTTTCTTTTTCTTTTTTTTCTTTTCTTTTTCTTTTTCTTTTTCTTTTCTTTTCTTTTTCTTTTTCTTTTCTTTTCTTTTCTTTTTCTTTTTCTTTTCGTTTTCTTTTTTTCTTTTCTTTTCTTTTCTTTTTCTTTTTCTTTTCTTTTCTTTTTCTTTTTCTTTTTCTTTTTCTTTTCTTTTCTTTTTCTTTTTTTTTTCTTTTTTTTCTTTTTTTTCTTTTTTTTCTTTTCCTTTTCTTTTCCTTCCTTCCTTCCTTCCTTCCTTCCTTCCTTCCTTCCTTCCTTCCTTCCAATTTCACTGCTGTATCACTCACTTCCTTTTCTTCTAAAGGGTTTCTATTGATCTCTTTCCACCTGGCAGTCTCTCACTCCTCAAAAGAGAAAACCCTGTTCCTGAAAGACACTTCTCAGCTCCACATATTGCTTTGCTGTGTCTGGGGAGGAGCACAGCTCTTTTCTTCTAAAATATCCCACAGAAATGACTGCACACTACCCAGGATATATATATTAACTTGTAGACTTCCTACTTGCCTGCTCACAGCCCTTCTTAACACAAAAAAAGCAAACACTGTCTATCATAATCACTCAGAATTCAATGCCAAGCTACACGGAGAGCCCTGTTAGCCTTTCTTGATAAATCAGGTACTCTCTTCCACTCCACTTGTTACTTTCCTTCTAGATATGATTTGATTATTTTTCCAGATTCAGAGAGATTAGGATTTTCCCCTAATGGTCCTCTTTCTGGATCTTCCTAACTAGTTAGCAGTCTAAAACTGCACAAGGAAGTTAGAAAAGCATGGCTTGGCATACCATTGACAGTATCTGTAACATTTATTTCATTGAAAGTTTGCAAAATAATTTCATTTTTCATTTCTTTCTTAATAGTATTTGGAAAATCAACCTATTGCTCTCAGTGCAGTTCTTGTGCTGTATTTGTGCACTGCTGATTGAACAGGTATCTTTCACACCATAACTCAAAATAGCAACTGAGAGCATTGTATTTCAAGGAGGTAGAAAATCCTAATGTTTGCTGTATTTACAGGATCAGATCAGATAGGTAGCTGAAGTAAACAGTCTTAGGCTCCAGTCTGGAACCAAGACTCCTGGTCTTCATGTTCAAGAAGGAATTACTACCCATCCTTGACAGAATAATTTTATCTTCTTAACATGTTTTCAATGTGTTACACTTCCACTGTGGCACAGTAATCGGAACAGAGCCAGCTTCCTCCGTGGTTTCATTGAAAATGCTGAAATGTAAACCATTCCCATTGCCCCAGCTTTGGTCTTGCTGCAGTGTGCCCCATCTCCCAAGTACGTTTGTTGCAGGAAAAAAGTGTGACAAGCTGGAGATGGAGGATGAGGAAGGCTACACCACATTAAATTTACGACCACCAGCTTCAGTTATTACTCGTGGATATTCAAACAGCAACAAATATCCTGCATTTAATGCTCAAGTCAATTGTGGTACAGTAGACAGTAAGTACAGATGGAAATTATTTTTCTATCTACATCAGGATGTAACCTGAATTTACATAGTCTACTCTTAATTAAAGCTCATAGAAACAGCAGAGAGAATAATAATGAAGTCTTGTGTGCTGTAGTGTCTGATGATTAAAGATACTTTTTCTGAAGTCTTTGAGATCTATATTTACTACAGTTTTTGTTGTTGTTGTTTTGTTTTGTTTTTTTCTATTTGCTTTAATACAGAAGACAAATGTTACCTTTATATAGTTTTTTTGCTTGTTTGTTTTGTTTTATTTTGGTTTTGGTAAGACTCATTTGTAACAGCAGGGCACTGCAAGAGAGGAAGACACTATAGTTTTATCAGATAATGCAGCCTTTGGAAATTGAAGCAGTTTCCTCAGTCATTGGAATTAGAAAACTACGCTGTTTATAAGGCCTAATAGTGAATGTAATCTCTTATGGGGGGTTATTTTAACTCATTTATGCTCAAAATTTTTCTATAAGCAGATTGAGAGTTAAGTAATGCAGTGGATTGTGTTTATGGAATATCTGAGCCCATAAAAAGGTGAGCTTGAGCACAGCTGCTGTTGCTCAGAATTTAACCAGCAGGCTTACATGTGAAATAAGTATTACTGATGCTCTTTAGGGGTAGAGTAGAGTAGTCAAAGACTAAACTCATATCAGTCTGATACTGTGATTTGTGACTGCTGTATTATACCCTTCCTCTAGACTTCTGAGATGAGTCTAGCTCCATTTATAAAGCCCTTTTAGGGAGTGGAGGACTGAAATTAGTTCCACGCTTGTCATCCTTTTCACCAAGCTAAACAAGTCCAGGTACTTCAGCCACCTCTCTTGACTATCTTGATGGTCCTCTGCTGGACTCTCTACAGTGAGCTGACAGGTCCCTTGACTGGAAAGCTCCACTTTGGACACAGTATTCCAGATGTGGCTTCATGGCTGCCAAGTAGACCAGCAACTACTTCACTCAAACTACTGGCTACAGTCTTGCCAATACAGCCCAGCGGTGGTCAGCTCTCATTATACAAGGGCACACTGATGACTCACATTCACTTTGTCCACCAGGACCCTGAAGTCCTTTTCAGCACAACTGCTTTTTAGCCAGTCAGTGTTCCACCTGTACTGCTGCATGGAGTTGCACTGTTAGAGGTACAGGACTTCATGTTGTTCTTTCCTGAGCTCTGCTACAATTACAGCTCATTTCTAAAATGTCTAGGACTTTGAAATGGCAGGTCTACCCTGCAGCACATCAGTCTGCAATGCAGTGTCATCTGTGGTCTTTTGAAATTGCTTTGATCAATGAGGGTTAGGACAATCTCCCTCAATTTTTGCTATGTACATGAGTTACCCAGTCTATATGGACATCTGGGCACCCCTGGAGGTTAATTCTTCTCACCTTAGAAAAGGCTTTTTCTCTGGACGTGCTAGCTCTGGTACACTGGTCTTGAAGAATAACCATTGATATATGTAACCTGAACACTAGCAAACAGATTGGGAAAAGTATTATAGAAAACTGCAGAGTTCCACTTCCCAAAAGAATTATAAATATACATGAAAATATTTTAATTGGGGGAGAGTCAGCTGTGACTTTCTGGAGGACTATATTACTGATGAGACATGGAACCCTAATAAAAATCTGAAGAAAGAGTCTGAAGAAAGATGCACAGTTTAAGGCTGAAACATTGCAAACATTTAGAAATTCCCCAATCACAGTGCCAAGAATTGATTATATATCTAACACTATATGTTGTTGTGTTTTTGTTTGTTTGTTTGTTTGTTTGTTTTCCCATTTGAGGTGGAGAGACTTAGAGCTTGTTTCATTCTTTCCAGGACTTTGGGAACTGCAAAATCTAGTCTGATCTCCTTCCTCATGACACAAGGTTTTGCTTTAAAGCATTAGAGCCTCAGTTAATGAATATTCTCAGTGGATAGACTAATATTTCTCAAAGCAAACAAACAAACAAAAAATTCCTGGAAATTCAGGACAGTGATAATAAAAACTTAGCAATAAGCAAGAAAGAAGCTCTGCATAATAGATAAATATGAAATGATTTTCTCAGAGAGGAGGCAATACCACTGTGTGGTGGTGAGAACTGGTCTTTTTGTTGCTAAACGTGTTTTTGTTGTTGTTGTTCCAGGAGTCTCTGCCTCATCTGCCAAAAGGTGGCCAGTGGCCGTTGCTTTCTTCATTTTGAGCCTGGTGCTGCTCATAGGGCTGGTGGCCTTGCTGTTCCTGTGTAAGTACTGTGTTGTCCTGGAGTACTATAATGGGAGTGAATTTCAGCAGTACTACCACTTCATCTGCCCCTGTTGACCATTCCTGCAAAGACCTATGGAAATAGTATGTCAAGAATAGCAATTTCCTATCAAATCTCCCCTCCATTGTGCATCTGCACAAGTCACTCCAGATGACTTTGATCTGCATTTACAATCTTTACCCCATCCACACTGTCCTCCAGAATAGCTTCCAGTTGCAACAATACTCCCATACTAACAGATGAAGCTGCATTTAGAGGAGTAAACGAGGAGTAAAAGACTGCACCCTTTCTCAAATTCCTAGTGTTCATAGCTAGAAGATTCATACTCTTGGCTACACTGAATAATAGTGACCCCCTGTGACTGTTACTGGAATATTTCAGTTATCATTCCCTCTTTCTTGGATTGCAGTGTTTTGTTTTGTTTTTTTTTTTTTGTTTTTTTTTTGTTTGTTTTGTTGTTGTTGTTGTTGTTTTGTTTTGTTTTGTTTTGTTTTGTTTTGTTTGTTTGTTTGTTTGTTTTTCAGGAATGACAATTTTATGATGTAATCTATGCATCAAAGTATAGTGACTGGTGAATTTGCCCAAAGATTACAACAGATTTTCTGTATGAACATTTCAATTAACAATTGAAGGTGATGCCACATTGCATATGAAAGCAGAGATAGTCTCCAGCTTCTTTTCAGGGTAGGGAAACAGTTGCAAATGCCTAGGACACTCAGGGTGTTCTGTAGTATCACAGAAGTGTTAGCTTAGAGGCAGTTGGACTATCAGTGACCCTAGATAAAATAATCTGTAGCTTTGTCTATATTACTTTGGAAAAACTCTGGGAGTGGAGATGTCACCACTTCCTTTTCTACTGCTGCACCACACTCGTGAAAAACTTTTCTTAGTGTCCAACCTGAATAGACCAAATCTCAAATTGTGGCTGACATTGCCCATTGTCATATCACTTTCTGTTGTCCAGGGCAGTTTTGCTCCCTCTTTGTAAGTGTTCTTCAGGTAGTTGTAGACAGTCATTAAATGCATATGTACTCTACTCTCTTCTCCCCTTTGAAAAACGAATGAACTGCAGATGATCTACACACACAAATCGACTTGCAAATGAAACAAACAGAAATTAAAAGAATGCCCAAAGCTACAATTTAAAACTCTTTAAAGAAAATACTCTGATAAGAATTTTCATTCACTTCAGTTTTTCAGGTTCCCAAGGATTCTGCAGGAGGAAAGAAGCTGCAGGAAATGAGGGAAGCATTGTGTTCTGAAGGGAAAGAGAACAATGGTAAAAGTGGTTATGTAAATAAACCCAAATCATCCCCTTTGAGACCCCATTGCCTGAGAGACTATACAATCACAGGGAAAATAACCTGATCACCTACTCTTTGCTATTAACTGTGATAGTATTTGAGATGTGGATATGTGCATGTTAACATGCAAAATAACTTTCACAGAGAAATAATCTTTCACAGACCCCCCAGAAGCTCAGATGATTCATGGCTACTCTTAATCTTCTTTTCCCAGACAAGCCAGCAGTTAAAATCCTAGTATTCCTTGCAGATCTGCATAATACTCTCTGTCTTTTAGAAACAAAATGTGCTCTCTGTCCAGCAAGCTGGCAAAGCAGTGGAGCTGACAGCTGCTTCTACATTTCAAAGCAGAAGAAAACATGGAAGGAAAGCCAGGAGTTCTGTTCCTCTAGAAACTCTACTCTTCTTGTGCTGAAAGATAAAGCAAAGATGGTACAGCCTTAACCCCATATATTCTTTACATCATGTGTGTTTTAACTTCAAGAAATGTGGCAGGCAGAAAATGGTTTCGTCATTTACAGTGCCTTTATTTGGTTTCTCCTGGGTCAAGTGGTCTTCCTGCAAGCTACAGGATTTTCATGTCTTGAAAAAAATTCTAAATTGTGTGTTATGAAGAATAAAAGAAAACATTTTATAAAATACCTTAATTACCTATAGGTTTTCACAGAGAAAACAAATTGCATACTAGTAGCATGGAGGGGACTCCCAGAATGCAAAATACATACTTCTTGCACCAGGGGAGTTTTAGGTTGGATCTTAGGAAGAACTTCTTTACTGAAAGGGTTGTTAGACATTGGAACAGGCTGCCCAGGGAAGTGGTGGAGTCACCATCCCTGGAAGTCTTTAAAAGACGTTTAGATGTAGAGCTAAGGGATATGGTTTAGTGGGGACTGTTTGCATTAGGTTAGAGGCTGGACTCGATGATCTTGAGGTCTCTTCCAACCTAGAAATTCTGTGATTCTGTGATTCTGTTATATCTCTCCAAAAGTTTTATTTCTGAGGGCTCCTAGCATCAAAACCACATCTACACCTGATCTAGAGTGGCTGATTAACCACTGTGCTGTCATTCATGCTGTCTTTCACCACAGTGCTGTGCAAAGTGACAGTAAACAGGCTGGGTTTTGTCTTTGTGTTACACCCTTCATCGATTGACGTTAATGATGGCAGAAAGGCTAGAGTGAAGAGGATTATATTATGATGACTAAATAGGATTTAGGGAGTTAACAGTTTTGAGTAGTCTTATTTATTTATTTATTTGTTTATATTTGCTACCTAATTATAAATCTGTGATTTGTTGGCAGGACCATATTTTCACTTATTGTAAACATATACCTGGGAACTTCTGTTTCACCAGCTATTAGGCTTATACAAAGTCCAAACCTCCTTATTTGCTTTTTGCTACCTAAAACTTTTAAAAGGAAAGACGGTTCCCTGAAAATTCTTCTTTTTTCCATATGGAGTCAGTTTCAGATGGAGGTTCTCAACTCTCTTTTATTTTAAAGCATAAAGATTGCCCATTTGGATTTTTTTTTTTTTTTTAATGAAAATCAGATAGGTAGACACAGAAGTGGGGAAGTGGTTTATAATGGAGTCTATCAACACTGAAGAACAGCAAAGCTGGTGAAAAGACTAGAAAACAGGACATATGAGGAGTCTCAGGGCACTGGTACTGTTTAGTCTGGAGAAAAAAAGAAAAGAAAAAAAACCTGAGGAATGACTTTGTCCCTCTTAACAACTACCTGGTAGGAGGTTGCAGCAAGGCGGATGTTGATCTCTTTTCTCAGGTGACAAGGGACAAGAAGTGAGGAAACATTCTCAGATTGCACCAGGGAAGGTTTAGATTGGCTATCAAAATTAATTTCTTCACAGAAAGAGTGGTTAGTCATTGGAACTGGCTGTCCAGAGATGTAGTGGAGTCACCATCTCTAAGGGTATTTAAGAGACGTGGTTGGGGTGTTTAGGTACATGTTTTAGTGGTGGACTTTGTAGTGGTAGGTGATGGTTGGATTTGATGATCTTAAAGATCTTATCCAGCCTAAATGACTCTATGATTCTATGATCCTGAGCTCAGAATCCTGGTCCACACTGCTGGGCAACACCTGAGCACCACGCCTTCAACACTGAATTCAAGAGATAATTTTGGTATGAAATATAAATCCCTGGGTCATTGGACCTCCAATGTCTAAGTGTTTGCTTTTTCTTCCATGTTTGGTATATGCAGCTGGAGTCAGACTGAAGCTAGCCCAGGTTAAGCCACCCGTAGATTTTAGATTTTGAATGAGTCCCTAAACATGCTAATAAGCAATAGTAAAGTATATGGATGATCTGAACAGGCTAAGATGATGAGGAACCTCTTAGGTAGCACTTGGACATGTAGGGAATGATTCAGGCTCCTAGGCATAGGTGTCTAGTGCAATCTGAGATGACCTGCATTGTCCTCTTTCACATTCAGGTAGTGCTTCGTAAGGGCACAGGTTCTGGGTTTTGTCTATCAGCCATATGTGAAAACTTCAGACAGTTTAAGCCATCTCAAATGGTGTTAAAGGCCTATGTTTAGGCACCAGAATCTGCCCTCTAGGCTGGGATTCATCTCACCTAACATCAGGCATCTATATTGTAAGTGGTCTGCAACTTCAAATCTATTTTCTTAGGCTCCATTGCAGTCAGTGGGAGATCTACAATACATCGCAAGCTCCACTGGCTCTGTTGGCCATATCTTTGCAGACCTTAACTGGGGCCTTGACAGTGTTCCCATGCCTATATCTGAACTTTAGATACATAAAGGTAGTGTAGATATCTAAAAGCAAGCAAGACAAAGCTTTTTTTTTTTTTTTTTTTTTTTTTTTAAAGAAAAAACAGTTCTTTTGCAGATCCAGGATACATTTGTCTTGACACAGTTCAATAACTAAAGATATTTGAATGATTCTATAATCAGAGCAGTCAGCACTGTTTCATGAAAAACAAGCATAGAAACAGTTACCTATTGAGTAAGAGTTGTCTCCTTTGGCTGCAGAACCTTCTCAGCTGGAAGATATACAGCTTGGGTTTTATTTTTGAAATATTATTGTGATGATCTTTGCATTGCTACAGGTCTCTCTGCCACAGGATTCACAGTTTTATTGGGTTGGATTATCATACAAATCTGAAAGGAATGGCTGGTACTGGGAAGATGGAACAGCTCTTTCAAGAGAAGCCAAAACTTGGTAAGCCTTCGTAACTTAAGACCAGTATGGTTCTCTCCTCTGGGCTCCAGTAAACTCCATGACATTTATGATTCCTCTTTCCCATGTTTGCCACATGTGCAGTGATGAAGGAACATGTAGATCATTTTATCTGCTATAGGACTACAAATTCCTGTCCTGTGTAAGGAGCAATGAGTAACAAACTATAGCTCAGTCACAGGCCTTGGACCCCAGAAGACAACATAGTAGAAATAAAATAGCTCCAAGGGAGAAATAACTCTACATTCCAGTGGCAAATCATTATGACTACAAATCCAAATATAGAGTACATGATGTCAGTAGGACATTATTAATCCATATCTTTATATTTTCTAGGACAGTTTTATATGAACACATCTTCTGCGCTTCCATATATGGACGGATTATTTATGCCAGTAATTCCTGTTTCACAAAGCAATTCTGGATCTGTGAGAAAGGTGCTATTCATTTTGCCTGAAGAAGCACTGCAAGTAGGGATGCAGGTTCTGTCACTGTTACATATCATTTCTAGCAACCAGATGTTTTTAACATATTTTTATTTTAGTTTGTTTATCATACAGCTTTCTCAGAACAGTGATCCAAATAGGTAGATTAGTAGAGACAAAACTTTCCCTTTGCTTGCATTTTGTCTCCTAGTCTTATGAATGAGAGAAAAAATCTACAAGCTAAAAGCTTAAAACATAGGAGTTACTTTTAGAGTTAGCTACAGTCAAGAAATGATACTTGCATGACTGTCTAGAAGGTCAACCACACATTTTCTTAGATCTCTATATTTTTTAAACCTCACTTAGAATTTCTTCTTTCCTCAGCATTTTACACCTGCCAGTCATAAACCACTCCAACTACATTCTTGATGATTTTACCCACTGAATTACTGTGCATACTAACTAGTACACCCATAAGCCTTTTTTTGACCATTTTGCCTAGTCATGCCCTCATTCCTAAATCTGTTCTACCAGCTCTTCCCCTTTTTGAGATATAGGAATAGAGAAAGAACACAGATATCTATTTACCCATAAAATTCTCTTTGCATGTGTACTGATATTTATAGAAACAAAAGGACATTTGTTAGAAGAATACAGGGAATCCCTGGAAGCAATCTCTTTGAAAAGTGGAGCTAAATGTCATAGTGAGAATAAAATATTACCCAAATATAAATTCAGTGCTAATGTAAATATAATTGCTATACAAAAACAAACAAGCAAACAAAAAAAACAGCAAGGATAGCAATGATGTGCTCCATTCAGAGCTACATTCAATGAGAGCTCAAGCTAATGTGCACAAATTTTACTTATGTTCTTGTTTTATCTACATTGTTTGGGAATTCTGGAGCCCAAGGAACATACTGCGTGACATGTATTATCAAAGTACTTGTCATACTTCCTAGAATAAAATGAAATCTCTAGATTTCTCAGTGTAGTTTCATTGCATGAGTTCTTTGAAGTTCTGTGTATGGAAATAGGCATCTGTTTAGCATCACATATACAAACTTTCCTTGTATATATATGTATATACACCTTGTATGTATGTATGTATCTATATGCCTTATTTGGAAATTTCCCTGAAATAAATTTAAAAAAAATGCTTTGTCATTAATATTTATTATTTAATTTGAAAATGATCTTAAAGACTGAAGTAGTTCCTTAGTTAAACAAGCAAAAAACCCTCTACCTAATGTGCTGAAAGATGTTTGTGAACTGAATAAATTCACCATATTCAGTAGGGCCAAGTCCCAATTTATCAGTACTAGAGGTTTTCAAGATTATTCTGTTCTGTGATTCTGTTTTACGAGCTAACAGCTGAACTAACTAGAATTCCTTACCATTGCAATAGGAAGTGCATGCCTGAAAGTAAGATACAATGTTTCATCTGGTAGATATGGAGATAGTAGGTGGGGACAAAGAGTGGAATAAAGCCCTCATATTCCATGAGGAAATGGTTAGCAAACTGCTTATCCACTTAGATGTATGCAAGTCTACATGTATGAGGACAGATTGGATCCACCTGAGGGTACTGAGGGAGCTGCTGGAAGTGCTTGCCAAGCTGACTTCCATCATTTATCAGCAGTCCTGGCTATCAGGGGAGATCCCAGTCAACTGGTGGCTAGCAAATGTGACACCCATCTACAAGCAGGGCCAGAAAGAGGATCTGGAAAGCTACAGGTCTGTCAGTCTGACCTTGGTACCGGGAAAGCTCATGGGGCACATGATCTTGAGTGCCATCACACAGCACTTACAGGACAACCAGGTGATCAGGTCCAGTCAGCATGGGTTTATAAAAGTCAGGTCCTGATCAATAGACCTGATCTACTTCTACAGCAAAGTGATGCGCTCAGTGGATGACAGATAGGCTGTGGAAGTGGTACCTAGACTTCAGTAAGGCTTTTGAAACCATTTCTGACAGCATTTTCCTGAAGAAGCTGGCTGCTCAAGTCTTGGATGGGTGTACGCTTTATTGGGTTAATAATTGTCTGGGTGGCCTGGCTTGAAGAGTCATGGTGAATGGAGTTAAATCCAGATGGAGATCAGTCACTAGTGGTGTCACCCAGGGCTCAGTACTGGGGCCAGTTCTCTTCAATATCTTCATCAGTGATCTGGACAAGAGGATCAAGTGCACTCTCAGTAATTTTGCAGATGACACCAAGTTAGGTGCAAGCGCTGATCTGCTCGAGGGTAGGAAGGTGCTCTGCACAGGGATCTGGATAGGCTGGACTGATGGGCCAAGGCCAACTGTATGAAGTTCAACAAGGCCAAGTGCCAGGTCCTGCACTTGGGGCACACAATCCTGTAGCAGTACTACAGGCTGGGAGATGAGTGGCTGGAAAGCTGCCTGGCAGAAAAGGACCTGGTATATTGGTCAATAGCTAGTTGAATGTGAGCCAGCAGTGTGCTCAGGTGACCAAGAAAGCCAACAGCACCTCTGTCTTGTTCCCGCGGATTCATACTTACTTTCTGCCAGTGCTGGTTAGAGCACTGGAGGCAACTAACAGAAACTGTAATAAGGGAAATCCTAATAAGACATAAGGAGAAAATTCTTCACTGTGTATGTGGTCAAACAGGAATGGGTATCCAGGAAGTCTTGGAGATCTCCATTCTTGAAGACACTGTGAATTTGACTGGACAAGTCCTTAGAATCATAGAAACACAAGGTTGGAAAATACCTACAAGATCATCTACTCCAACTGTCCTCCTATCACTAATACTACCCACTAAGCTATTAAATCATATCTCGTAGCACCTCATCCAGGCGCTTCTTGAACATCACGAGTGACGGTGACTCCACTCTGGGCAGGCCGTTCCAGTTCCTGAACACTCTTTGAGAGAAAAAGTTTTTCCTGATATCTAATCTAAATCTCCCCAGGCACAACTTGAGGCCATTTCCTCAAGTCCTATCATTAGTTATCTGGGAGAAGAGGCCAACCCCCTCTTCATCACAACATCCCTTCAGGAAGTGGTAGAGTGCAATGAGGTCTCCCCCGAGCCTCCTCCAGACTTAACAATCCCAGCTCCCTCAGCTGCTCCTCATAAGACTTGTGCTCCAGACCCCTCACCAGTTTTGTTGCCCTTCTCTGGACACATTTCAGGTCCTCGATATCTTTCTTGTAGTGAGGGGCACAAAACTGAACACAGTACTAGAGACGGGGACTCACCAGGGCTGAGTACAGGGGGACAATCACTTCCCTAGACCTGCTGGCCACACTGTTTCTGATACAAGCCAGGATGCTGTTGGCCTTCTTGGCCACCTGAGCACACTGCTGGCTCATATTCAGCCAACTATCAACTGATACTCTCAGGTCCTTCTCTGCCAGGCAGCTTTCCAGCCACTCATCCCTTATCCTGTACTGCTGCTTGGGGTTGTTGTGGCCAAAATGCAGGACCTGGCACTTGGCCTTGTTGAATCTCATCCCATTCACCTCAGCCCATCAGTCCAGCCTATCCAGATCCCTCTGAAGGGTCACCCTACCCTCAGGCAGATCAACATTACCTCCCAACCTGGTGTCGTCTGCAAACTTACTGAGGGTACACTCGATCCCCTTATCTAGGTCATCAATAACGATATTAAACAAGATAAGCCCCAGTACCAACCCCTGGGGGACACCACTTGTAATGGGATGCCAACTGGACTTAACTCCATTAATCACTACCCGCTGGGCATGGCCCTCCAGACAGTTCTTTACCTAGAGAAGAGTATACCTGTCCAGGCCATGGGCAGCCAGTTTCCCCAGGAGAATACTGTGGGAGACCGTGTCAGAGGCTTTTCTGAAGACCAGGTAGACTGCATTAACATCCTCCCTACCAGACAGCTCACCCGGTCATAGAAGGAGATAAGGTTGGACAAGCATGACTTGCCTTTCATGAACCCATGCTGGCTGGGTCTGATTCCCTGGATGCCATGCACATGCCATGTGATCTCACCCAAGATGATTTTCTCCATAGCTTTCCCTGGAAATGAGGTCAGGTTGACAGCCCTGTAGTTCCCCAGATCCTCCTTATGGCTCTTCTTGTAGATAGGAGTCACATCACCAAGCCTCCAATCCCCTGGGACCTCTCCAGGTAAGAAGGAATGCTCATAGATGGTGGAAAGCGGCTTGGCAACTACCTCTGCCAGCTCCCTCAGCACCCTGGGGTGGAGCCCATCTGGTCCCATGGTCTGGTCCCATGGACTCGTGATGTTCCAGATGGAGGAGCAGGTCTCTAACTGTCTCTGCCTGAATGACAAGGAGCGATTCTCTACCTGAATCACAAGGGACTTCCAGGTCAGTGTGTGAAGTACCCTGAGGATAACTGATCTGACTGTTAAAGACAGATGTAAGAAGGTGTTGAGAACCTCAGCCTTTTCCTTATCCTCAGTGATCACATTCCCTTCTGCACCAAGGAAATTATGGAAATTGTCCTTGGTTCTTCTCTTACTGTTAATATATTTGTAAAAGGATTTCTTGTTCTCTTTTACTGCAGTGGCCACTCTGAGTTCAAGCTGGGCTTTTGCCTTTCTAACTTCCTCCCTGCATGTCTTCTTTGTAGTCTCCCCAAGTATCCAGTCCCTTCTTCCAGAGGATGTATATTCTCTTTTTCTCACAGACTCTCAACAGAAGTTCCTGGTTCATCCACGTCAGTCTTCTTCCCTTTTGGCTTACAGGACTCAGGAACAGCCTGCTCCTGGACCTTTAAGATTTCCGTCCTGAGGAGTGTCCAGGCTTTCTGGACCCCTTTGCCCTTCAGGAGTGAATCCCAAGGGACCCCTGCAACAAGTGTCCAGAACAGGTCTAAGTCCACCCTCCAGAAGTTCAAGATGGCAGTTTTGTTAGTTACCCTTCTGACATCACCAAGAATAAAAAACTCTACCATTTCATGGTCACTCTGACAAATACAGTCCCCAACCTTCACATCTCCCACCAGTCCTTCTCTGTTAGTGAAGAGCAGGTCTAGTGGGGCACTTCGCTTGGTAGGCTCTTGTACCAGCTGTGTCAGGAAGCTGTCTTCCACACACTCTAGAAACCTCCTGGACTGCTTCCTCTGTGCAGTATTATACTTCCAGCATATGTCAGAGAAGTTGAAGTCTCCCATGAGAATGAGTGCTGGCAATCATGCAACTTCTGTGAGCTGCTCATAGAATGCCTCATCCATCTCTTCATCCTGCTTAGGCAGTCTATAACAGACCCCCAACAAGATGTCACCCCTACAGGCCTTCCCCCAGTCCTTATCCATAGACACTCAACTTTATCATTTCCAACCCCAAGCTCTTCAATGTCAAAACACTCTTTAATATAAAGAGCCACACCACCACCCTTCCTTCCTTGTCCATCCCTTCTGAAGAGCTTGTAGCTGCCCATCACAGTACTCCAATCATGGGACTCACCCTACCACGTTTCAGTTATGGCAGCTAGGTCAGTCAGCCTGCCGCACAGTCGCTTCCAGCTCCTCCTGTTTGTTGCCCATGCTGTGTGCACTGGTGTAGATGCATTTCAGATGAGACATCTCCCTCATCCCCAGCTTCAGCATCATTCCCCTAGGCTCTTCTCTGGTGAGTCCTGTTTTATCCCTTCCCCCCATCACAGCTAGCTTAAAGCTCTCCCGACGAGTCCTGCTAGCTCCTGCGCTAGGAACCATTTCCCCCTTTGAGACATGTGAGTTCCATCCATCGACAACAGGCCAGGGGTTGAGTGAACTGCCCCATGGTCAAAGAACCCAAAGTTCCTGTCTCAACACCAGCCTCTCAGCCAATTATTCATTACCTGTGTTCTCCTAGCCCACCCCATGTCCTTCCTTGAGCAACTTTACCACTGCTAGAAGCTGGCAAAGCTTTGAATAGGAAGTTGAACCAGTTGACTTGCAGAGGCTCCTCCCAAAGGTATTTAAGACAAAAGTCTTAAGACACCAGCGTTTTGCCATGCATCTCTTTTTGGGGGTACCAGACTCCTTGACACAGATTTCAGTCCTGGTTCATGCATCTGTAGTGATGGGTTTAAAGTTGCAACATCTCACTGTCACCCTACAGATTCCTGTTACTTGAACCCTGCTTGGTCTCTCTCACAGTATCTTCTTTCCTTAAAAGTCCTTCACTCTGCTCCTGCCTTTACTCGGTCAGGACTTGCAATTGCTTTGTGTTATATTAAATAAATATGCACTCATCTGAGATACCTGAGGCAGCAGGTAAGGTGCAATTTCACCAACCATTCAGAACCTTCTTACTTGGCTTTCATGGCTTTAATACATCCTATGTTCTGCTGGCAGGGGAACTTCCAGAGAAGAAAGGGGAGAGCACGCAGCACTGTGCAGTACGCCAGCAAACAGTAAGCTACAGCTTTGCAAAAAGAAGAATGGGCTCCTACTGTAGTTGGATGATGTAGAGAAGTTGAGATATAAAGTAGTGTCCAGTCTCTTTTGTTTCTCACTTTTTAAAATTTTCTAAGTTATAAGAAAGAGGGACAGATTATGCTATTTCAAGTGATCTACTGTTGCTTCCTTGGTCGTTATAAGCTAAAAGCTGTAGTCAATCTTCCCTTCATACTTATAGATCACAGTCATGAAAAGGTTTAGCTTGGAAGGGAGTTCTGAAGTGAATCTGTTCTAAACTCTTGCTCAGCAGAGCTACTTTCAAAACTAGATCAGATTGCTCCAGCCTCTGTCCAGTCAAGCTCAGAAAATCTCCAAGGACAAAGCTGCCACACCCTTTCCAAGCACTTGTTCCAATATTTGACCACCTCAATGTGATTTGTTTTTCCTCTTGTCAGATCAGAATTCCCCTTCATATAATATACTCCCATTGCTTCTTGTCTTCCATTGTATATTTCTGAGTTTGGCTTTATCTCCTTTATACTCCCCTTTATGCAGTGACTCCAATTAGTTTGTCAGTATCTTTCTTTTCTCCAGGCTGAACAAATCCCTGTAAATCATGTGCTCTGTTTCCTAATTATCTTTGTGGGTACCCCCTTGACCAGTTTTAGTATTTTTGAGGTTTAGAGGGTTTTGGTTTGGTTTGTGTTTTGTTTGTTTGTTTGTTTGTTTGTAATTATATTTTTTTCTTACTGGGGTGCCTGAAGCTGGACGTAGCACTCTAGCTGTATATGCACAACTGCTGAAGAGAATTATCACTTCCTTTGCTCTGCTAGCTATGCTCTTGCTAATTTTGTCTGATCTGTGGTTAGCCTTTGCCACAAAGGCTTGTTTGTTAAGTGCTCTCTGTGTCTTCTTTTTCCACATTGTGATTTCCCAATTGTCCCTCTGAGAAGATGACATTAGATTCTGGACAGTGTTTCCTGTGTGATTACACAGTTTCAGCTACTATTTACAGCTGTGACTTTTGATCTGAATTGAAGACAAACACCTGGATTTTTAGCCCTTAACAATGAGTAATGAAAAAGGCACAGAACTGAAATCAGCCTGCCTCTGAAATGAATTGAAGGTGCTTTTTCTGTTTCAAAATTCTGTTTCAAAAAAGTTCAAAGGAGATGGAAGTCATGGAAAGGCTCAATAGAAAAGAGTGATACTATGTAGCCATAAAATGACTGGGATTCATGTCATTTCTATGTGTCTGTAGACCTGGGGAGGCAGAATCTAGCTGAGACGTGCTGAGCAGAAAGAGAGGATTCCTTCTCCTGAGAGAGGAAAAGGAGGAGTCACACATAGTACTTGAATATGAATAATTTGACTCAGGAAATTTGAAGTGTGACTCATTCTCCTCTCTCTTCCTTCTTTCTGCTTTTCTCTTTGCTTCTCCTTCACAAAACATATGGTCTGTCTTTTAAGAGGATCATTATTGAACCACAAATGAGTTTTCAGATACTGAATATGAACACAGAAGAGGATGGATACTCTAATTTAAATCACCTGCCACAGCATCCATCCAGACACTATATGTCTGTGAACGTCAACCAAGGTATGACTGACACCTGTTCTTGAACTTTCTATGCTATAGTGGACAACCAGAATGATCTCTCTTGTCCAGATAAGCAAATGAGAAAAATATGTATTTATAGGCTTAATGTTTATTTCTGTGCACTATTTATATGGTTTTGTCTGATAAAAACAAGTGTGCATGGATGTGAAAATACATAGAAAGAAACTACTGCTGTTACTTGCCCTAAATTTCTGTAGAAAAAGACAGATGGCTTTGGTTCAAACTCTGGAATATAGGAATCAGTGCTAATGTGTGATTAGTTTTATTTATTGTTTTATATTGTGCTATTTATATTGTGTTTATATCTCAGTGTGTACACTGAGAGTAGAAAGGATTTGTGAAAAGTGGAAGATGATATAGATATATTTCCTTACTCTATTCTGGCACAGAAGAATAATAAAGTATTGCCAGGGAGAGCAGGAACATCACCGAATTCTAAGCCATAGGATCACTACCAGGTTTCATAGTCTCATCATTTTCTAAAGGCAAGGAATCCCCTACCTGTTCTGTTTAAACTATATACTTCCAGTGACTCATTTCAAACAGACTCCTTTAACAGATGCACTGCAGAGAGCTTAATGTCCTTCACAATTTTCATTTGAGTTGATCCTTAAAATATAATGTATCCAAGAAGGGAAAATACTTTGAAAGCCAACTAATGGCTTTTCCTGGAAGGGGGGAGCATTGTCAGGGTTACTGAACAGAGTGCTGGATGTCACGTAAATTTTTGGTTTCTCCCAGGGCGATCTCTTCCCTTTGCTGTATGGTTGCCAGCTATCTTCATTTTGTCTGTACTGTGCCTGGCCCTCATCATAGGAATGATAGTCCTAGGTAAGCGCTGAAACCTACTGTATTCCTTTATTCATATTAACACCTTGGGAATAACTGCACTGAAGAAAAGTGGCAGACTGACTGCAACAAAGGAGTCATAGTTCAGCCTCCTCACATATACTGTTCTTCCCCATCTTCCTATTTGCCTGAAATAAACACCACAGCTTGGTGCATAAGTCTTTGAGGAAGTATTTTTAAAGGCATTTCTGGACCTGTGCCCAGAGCAAGGATACAGAAATCAAGGCTGTGTATTTTTGAAAGAATGGGAGAAATGGATTCTACCCTCATCCATCTATCACTCTTTTATTTGCTAATTAGAATTCAGTTATGAAATTCTAATATTGACTTTTATAAATCAGTTTGATGTTTCTGTTTTCCTCTTCTCTTGTTGTTCAAGCCTCTTTACTCTACTGGAACAGCAGTTCTTTTCTCCTTGCTTGGAGACCTTTTGTGTTGGAAGACTACTATCTTAAATCAGTTCACATAAGTATGTTAAAAAAGGGACATACTTCTAGCACTCAGATTCATGAGGAAACCTCACTGTCTGTCTGTTTTACTCTGTCATTCGAGCTTACCTGAGATGTGCAAAAGAATTGAAGACCTTCATGTTTTATATTAGCTTTTATCATGTGACATCACTGTGCCTAACTTGTTATTGCAGAACCTGGACATTGTCATTCTAACTCATTACTGCCAAAAGCTAATATCTAAGTACTCCTGATATATATATAAGTATATATATATAAGCCTGCCTTTCTCAGAAAAGTTTAACCAAGATTTAAAGGTGGGGTTTTTTTAGGAGTTTTAGGATGTTGTTTTTTTTAAAGTCTCAAAAGTCTTCCTTTAAGATCAGCATGATTAGTTCAAGATGCTCCTTGCTAAGTATATTTTTTGCATTGTTTTAGTTTTTTATTGGGTTGTTGAGTGACTTGTAATGGAACTGTGATTAAAATACACTTAAAACTTGGGAATCTCTTTATCCATTGTTTTCACATCTGCTAGTTTCCTCACCATATGTGACACTGTAGCATCAGATTTGTATGTGAACACACAGCTGCAAAAAGTAAATTTGCAAAATATGATGAAGCACGTATATCATGCAATATCATCACAACTTTTTTTTTGTCTCACTGGAGAATTTCTTTATAAACTTCAGGTCTCAGAGGTTCTCAGGCACCTGTGCAACATAATGAAAACTTGCGAGGATTAAAAGAGAGCTTATGCTCAATGGGTGACACAAACATTAAGAACAGTAAGTAGAACTACCATTCACACAGCCTGAAGTGTGTGTTAAGTCTTATATAGTTAAATAAGGGTGTTATATATTATAGGAAATTAAATTATGAACTAAAAAAAATAAAAAATAATAAAAAATGAGTATAGATATAACCATAAAGTGCCATATGCATTTCAGCTCTACATATCTTTGACTTTCCAGGCCTATGAGTGTACATTTCTCTACTCTTCATTTGGTTATTTATAAGGGACTGATGGTTTCTTACTGTTCTAGGCCCAGCATGTTCACTGTGCCCTGTAAACTGGAAATGGATTGGAGGTGACACCTGTTTCTATATTTCAGAAAAGGAGGCAACATGGCTAGAAAGTAAAGACTTTTGCTTTTCTCAGAATTCCACCCTTCTTACACTGAAAAGGAAAAGCAAGTTGGTACGATTCCTATCATACTGGTATTTCTTTGCAATGGTATCAACTATTGAAAACTCTTCACCAGTCAGCAAATACCTCCTAAAAATATACATTAATAGACATACTGTCCCCAGGGTCTGAGGCAATGTGGACTGAAGAGCATTTAATCATAAAAGTATACTGATGAGGAAGCTAGTAACATGGGATGTTATTCAGACAGTTATTGGATGCAAGCGTCCTGAATCCTGAGAAAGTTAGAAGTGATGATTTTCAATTCAGAAAATCTCTTTGAATACTCTAATAGAGTTCTAGAGAGAATTGTTGCCATGGTCTTATATTTTGTAAAGATGTCAGACACAAAATATTCCTGTTTGCATGTCAAATAAAGACACTGTCTCCTGGAAACTATGTTACTAAGTTTTGATGACGAGTTCAGAATTTCATTGTCAAATTACTTAACTCTTTTGGTTCTTTCTTTGATTACCTCTTCTCAGCAGAAGCTATTTAGATTTAAGCCAAAACACATCCACAAACAAGTTGGTGATAAAGGTTTTGCATTTTTCATAGATCAGAATGTCTCATATATTACAAAAACAATCATACTGGATTGGATTATCCTATAGAGTTGAAGGCTGGTCTTGGACGGATGATACAAAACTTTCTACACAGAGGATGGACTGGTAGGTTTGCTGAACTTAGATGTTTGGTAGTTTTTAATCTCTTCTTGCACAATATCATCCCTGTGCGTTTAGGGAGGAGGGAAAAATAAATAAATCCTATTAATGGCAAAGAATTAGAATACTATTATAGGTTTGGAATCCCTGAAAAAGATAGTTTTAGAAAACTAAAAGTGAAAGCAAGAGAAAGAAACAACGAACCAGTGCAATCAGTGACTGCTCTCCCTATTTAAACCCATTCTCTTTATGAAACATCCCATGAGCTCTAAAGCAAGTAACCCACACTTCTTTCAAGACAGACTGCCTCATGCACAACCTTCCTGAACAAGCCTTTTCTACTCAGCCACAGTTATCCCAAATTCACTCCTCTCTTTCATCAACATTTCAAACCCTTAATACACAAAAATGGTCAATGTGATAAGCAGCCATTTACTTTTTCTGTAAATTATTATCAGCTTATTCAGCCTCTTTCTCCTTTATTTAAACTGTGGGGAAAATGAATTACTATTCTGTTCTACATGAAATGACCACTGTATGCAGTAATATGAGAGTCCTCATCAAAATGGAGAGCTGTCACAGGCAGGACCAACATTTTCTGACTGAAAATTCTACAGTGCCTCCTGAGAAATATGTGCTCATTTTGTCTTGCAAACTCTTGTAATTCCTGTGGCTAGTAGACATCAGGCTGAATGATCTGGCTTCTGTTTGGGCAGACCACTGTCATTCAGTTTTCAGACTCAAATTACTACTGTATAAATCAGGAGGGTCAGTAATGACTGGTGAGGAATTAGTATTATTTTTTGTTTTGAGTATGCTCTTTTCTTTTCTTTTCTTTTCTTTTCTTTTCTTTTCTTTTCTTTTCTTTTCTTTTCTTTTCTTTTCTTTTCTTTTCTTTTCTTTTCTTTTTCTGTTACATTACAAATATGTTTTAATTGCATTAAAAATAATTTTAATTAATTAATTTTTAATTAATTTTTAATCTTTAATATATTTTTTTTACATCTTTACATTGAAGGAAGGTGGGAGACTGCCTTGACTTGAACAATGTCATGTTCTTCAACATTTTGTAGAAGAACTTGCATGACTGTGCAAATTTTGCAATAATGTATGATCATCCAAAAGCTTTGTACAAAACATGTATGTGTGAGTTTTTAACAATATGTTGTTTTTTTTTCCATTTCCTAGGATTGATTTGTCCAACGAGGAAAACTGTGCGTACCTATACTATCATAAATTAGAAGTTCACAGTGAGGATTGTTATGAGAAATATCCTTGGATCTGTGAAAAGGCGGCAGTCCAGTTGATCTAAAAATATTCTTCTGATCAGCAGAAGGAGAACTGGAAGCATATGAAGAAATAGATTGTCATTTTCAGATTTTTCAAAAAGATGATGTAAAATAATGTTTAATAGAAATTCAAAGCAGAGTCTAACTTTCACATACACTAAAATGTAACAGAAAGGAAGCCTTTCCAGATAAATAGAATCAGCAATAAGAAATATTTATGAATCAGAGACAGGATATTAGCCTCCTCTGTCTATCTCAGAAACCTGAACTGTAGCAAAGTTGTTAATCTCAAGCATGTCAGCATAGCCAAAGAGCTCAGAAGCATAAAGGTTGGTGGGGCTACTTCTTGTCATTGGTTAGAATTTCTTATATATCCATTTCTACCAGGGCTCTCCTTTTAGCCCATTTGACTACTCAGATGATGAGTCTTCTCTCACTTCTATTTACAAAGATACATTCACCTCCAGAAACTCTTAATTATTTACAGTTTACTCTTCAATGCACCAACTTTCAGTTATTCTAAATTACTCTAAAACCCCAAAGCAAACACTTCTCTCCTTTACTACTCAAATATGTGTGGGTTCTTTGTTTGCTGCTTAGCAGCAAAACACCAGTTAGCACCCTCATCCTCCTCTTGGCTGGGGAATATGAATTTTAAGTATGTTGATATTTTAGATCCAAGTAATGATGCTTTTCCTCTACATGCAATAATGTGATCTTCCAAGGTGGCCCAGAAGTGTTAATAAAGTGTTATTAACACAAATAAGTGTTAATAAACAGTATGTGGTTATCATAATTGCCATAGCTGTTATGCAGGGAGAATGGAAATACTGATTGGATATTTCCAAGATTGCCAACCTAAGACCATTGGTCTTCAACTAAGAGGGAAGATCTCCATCTCTTTACCTAACACATAGGGCCGTAGAGGGAAGAGGGATCCAAAATACCTAGTTGATATTCAGCTATCACCTCCTCCAAACTCAAGAGAGGTCTGTCCCAATGAGCAGAAATTCAGGCAAAAATGCCAAAAGACATTTGATGAACTAGAGGTTCCTGGCCAAATTCAATCACAAAAAGAAAGCATAGAGGGGGTAAATACATGGATGTGTAACCTGGGAGTAATATAGAGACAGGGATGATGTTAGGAAAGCCAGAGCCCATTTGGAACTCACTCGGGCCAGTGATGTCAAAGACAACAGGAAGGGCTTCTGGGTGACAAAATGAAGATGGAAAAATATGGACCCACTGCTGAAGGAGATGGTGGACTTGATTATATAGGAGGTGAAAACAGCTGAGGTACTGGGTGCCTTCTTTGCTTCAGTCTTTACGAGCAAAATTGGCCTTGATGCATACCAGGCCCCAGAATGTAAAGGAAAAGTTTGGAGCAAGGAAGAAGTTCTGGTCTGGGAACGCAAGCAAACTGTACATACATAAATCCATTAGCTCTGATGGGATGCACCCATGAGTGCTGTGGGAGCCAGAAGATGTCACCGTTGCAAGGTCACCTTCAAAAACCTTTTAAAGATCATGGTTACTGAGAGAGTGCCTGAGGACTGGAGGAAAGCAAATATCACTCCTTCACTCCTATCTTCAAGAAAGTCAGGAAAGAAGACCCAGGGCCAGGCAGACTCACCTCAGTCCCTGGGAAAGTGATGGAGCACATAATCCCGGAAACCATTTCCAAGCACAGGAAGGGCAAGAATGTGATCAGGAGTACTCAGAATGCGTTTACCAAGGGGAAGTCACATTTGAACAACCTCATAAGCTTCTACAATTAAATCACTGGCTGGTAGATGAGGAGAGAGCAGAGAACATTGTCTACCTGGACTTCGGTAAGGGTTTCAACACTGTCTCCCATAAGATCCTCATAAAGAAACTATGTATGGGATGGATGAGCATACTGGGGGATGGATTTAAAACTGGCTAAACAGCCAGCCCAAGAAGATAGTGATCAGTGTTTTAAAGTCTAGTCAGAGACCACTAACTAGAAGTGTATGTCAGTGGTAAATATTGATTCCAGTCCTGTTTAATCTCTTTATTAATGATCTGGATGATGGAGCAGAGTGTACCCTCTGCGTGTCTGAAGGTGATACAAAACTGGAAGGAGAGGTGACCATATGGTTGTGCTGACAGTCAGAGGGACCTCAACAAGCTGGAGAGAGGGACTGACCTCATGAAGCTCAAAAGAGAGATGCAAAGTCTTGCACCTGGGGAGAAACAACCAACCCCATGCACCAACATATCCTGGGGGCAAAACAGCTGGAAAGAAGCTAGGCAGAAAAGGTCATGGGGTCCTGATGGACACCAATTTGAACATGAGCTGGAAACGTGCCCCTGCCACAGAGAAGACTGTTAGTATTATGGGCTACATTAGACAAAGTATTGTCAGCAATTTGAGGAAGGTAATCCTTCCCCTCTCCTCAGCATTGATGAGGCCACATCTGGAGTACTGTGTGCATTCCTAGGCTCCTCAGTACAGGAGACACATAGACATACTGGAGAGGGTCACAGAGATAATGAAGGGAGAGAGTTGGGACTCTTCAGCATGGAGAATAGAAGGCCTAGGAGAATCTTATCGATGTATATAAATACCTGGAAAGAAGCTGAAAAGAAGACAGAGCTACACTCTCTTCAGTTGTGCCTAGTGCCAGGACAAGAGGCAATGGGCACAAACTGAAACACAAGATGTTCCCTCTCAACATCAGGAAGCCCTTCTTTACTATGTAGGTGACTAAGCACTTGTGCAGTTTGCACAGAGAGGTTGTGGAGTCAGGCCCTTTGAAGATATCCAAAAGCCATCTGGACATGGTTCTGGGCAATCGTCTCTAGGTATCTCAACTTGAGCAGATGGGATGGACCAGATGGCCTCCAGAGGTTCTTTCCAACATAAATCATCCATTGATTCTGTAATTCTATGGTTGATTTAAGAGTTTAAATTTTATATCAATTTAATAGAGCTTGTTACTTTTGAGTAGGAACGTTGATTAGAGAACTTCCTTTGGTTTTGTTCTAAGTTTGAAAGTGTCTGAGATTTTTTCTTCATGTTGGAAAACAGATTTGAGCAGAAAAATTTTGAAAATATATTTTGCTGTATTTCTATGTCACAGTCTACTAGAAATTTGATTTGTCTCCAGTGTATATAGGGATGCAGTTTGAACCACCACTTTTAACAATGACACTTCCTGGTCTATGAATGTGTGATAACATTGGTGGTAGGGGAGATGGTTGGACCAGATGATCTTGGAGGTCTTTTCCAACCTTCATGATTCTATGATTCTATGATATTCATGACACAATCATACAGAAGAAACTTCTCTCTTTCCCTGGGTTGCAATATTGTACTTCAAAATACAGATTTTATGAAATGCATAAGATTTTTGCCTTCATAGCATAGGCAAGTTGATATTAATTATCTATTTCCTTTCTGCTACAAAATACCGGTTTTCATGTATACTGTTCCCATTAAATATTTGCACCATAATTTGTGCTGTGTCCAGTATTCAACTTTATTTGACACTATAAACAGCAGCAAATATGATTGCTGCATGGTCATTTCAGCATCCATCTCCAAGAAAGGTCCTACCCACAAAGGTCACCTATGAACCTTGAGCATTTCAATGTGGTCTAATTGTGTGTTCCAATTCCACATTTCAGTTGAGTCTGTTTGTTTGGTGTTTACACAGGAAAAAGTCCAATATATCAAGAAAATGATAGAAAGAAAATACAGGAAATACTGAATAGGGAGGAAATACTGACTCTTTTGTTAATAGTTTAATCAGATTCAGGAGGTCTTTCTCTGTGAAAGAATATTTTGCAACTCTTTGTTTGAAATCAGAACAAAAGGGTGGCCTTTCTAAAGATAGAGTGCACATTTCTTTCTTCTCAAATTTCTGCTGTATTTTTAGAGTGGTGAGGAGTAGAGTGGGTACATAAGTTTTCAGGATAACAAGGAGATGTGTGATTGTGATCCACTGACTCCAAATTTCCCCCAAAGAAATATGCATCTGTATTTACTCATTCTTTTGTCGTTCTTCTGCAATTCAACAGTTCATGGAGGGAAGTTACCAAGGGGGAATCAGTACAACTGAGAACAATACAGAGATCAAATATTAGGGATTTTGTATTCTCTTCTTGTGGCCAGATAAAACTCTTATATTGACTTTTTATCATTGTAAGCCAGTGACTTAAACAGTGACATCTGGTTTATACTGAGTGAGGGCAAATCAAAACCACATTTACTAAGATATGGTTGAAAAGTGATAGGCTAGAACTGTTGCTTCTTTGACTGCAAGAAAGGTTGACTGAATCACAGCAGCCAACATTTAGCACAACAAAACTGAGTGTACTGCTTCACTTGTACCACTATTTCTGCAGCTTAAAATTAAATCACAGTTTCACCCAATCGTATCAAAAGAAGTTTGTGCAGTTAAGCTGATTTGTGCTCACTGACTAATGGACAATGAACTGCGGAACAGGAAATGAATGTCTATGTTAGTTTGCACAAGAGTTTGTGACCAACAGTCAGTGTAGTCAAAGATGCTGATTCTTTTACAAGAGATCATGTTTGTCCTTCTACTCAGTAAAACACTTGTTAAATGTGAATATTTAAAAAGACATCTGTTTTGGTTGGTTGGTTGGTTGTTGTGTGGTTTTTTTTGTTACTTGATGAACCATTGAAGTCAAAATTCTCTATCACACTCTCTTCTGTCTAGACACTTCAATTCTGAACTGGCTATAGTACTCATTTCAGTGATTTCAAGGATAATCTGTTCTTTATCTGGTGATTAATATTAATAGTGGTAGACTCTTTCTGCTTCTTAAAGAAGACTGCAAACAAGTATGGTGAAGATATGATATTTCAAATCCATGACAAAGCTTTGCTCACCACTGCACAGTCAGGTGCAGTTAAATGTGAAATACAAAGGCCTCTGTATATTGCTCAGAAATACTTTTTGGGATGCATCAATAACCTCTATAAAAAGCTTTGCTTTGACATAAGACTTTGTTAACCTTTATAGATAAAACAAGTGGGTAATTTGTGGGTTAACCTTATATTTACAAATCATTATAAATTTAGTGGTTTGGCTATGACTGCAGGGAATTTGGTTTGTCTTTGTGTTTACTTCACAATGACAAGACACAAACCCAATTCTTTTGCCGTGTAAATGAAAATGCCAATATCTGTAGGGTAATTGGTTGAATAATTATATTGAGTCCGGATTGATTAACAATTAATTGGAGATGTTCAGATACAGTTCTGCAAGAAATTAACAGTATAACAAAAAATAAATTATCACCAGAAAAATGTATATATATATATAATATTCAGGAAATTCCAGAGAATTATAACAGTTCTGAGGTTGCAATTGCAAGATGCTTAAAATAATTTTCATCCAAATAAAAGTTTATTTGCAGCAGCAAATTCAGAACATTTAGACATGACATCTAAAAATTAGCACACTTGTAAATCTACTTTAAAACCCAAATTGTACAAGCACGCAATACTTGCAAGTTCCCTATAATGAAGACGTGGGGGAAACAAGGTGTGATATATTCAGAAATTCATTTTTAACAAGCTAATCACAGCATGGAAAATAGATCTAAAATGCTTGTCCTCAAAATCATGAAAGCAGTTCTGTTTCTCTCAGTAAGACATGAAAAAAACAGGTCAGTTACAAGTATATGGGTTTCAGACCTGGATAGATGATTAAGTCAGCACTTAATTGTGTACTTCTATCCTTGTTTATTTGTTCTTACAGCAGTCTTTAGAAGAGTTGATTGAGAATCATTTTCCATGTACCATGTGGCTGTGCAACTTGAAAAATGGCAGTGTATTTTGCAAGTCCTGATGTCTGAAGACAACAGCTTCTGTTTATAAACATGAATTCAGAGACATATTATCTCTGATAATGTGAGAACTGGAATCTTGCTGCAAGAATATATTTCCCCACTCGGATTTCTTTCTGTTTTTATGATCCAAATGGTTTACTGCTTGTCTGTCAGCAAGAGTAAGAAGGAGGACAATGGAGAAAAGAAAACTCATTAATAAGTAAAACTGTGACACCTCATTCTAGGTTGCATCTCTGAGGTTTGCCAAGAAATAAGACACTTGTGTGATTATATGTCAATACAATGCAACCAAAATAAAAATAAGAAAACAAAGTCAGCAGAATAATTTGTTTTTAAAACAAATAAGCACTATGAAGAAAAAGACCTATGAGCAACCGAAAGCAATAAGACACCAAGCTATGTTGTACGGCTGACATGCTGGAGGGAAGGGATGTCATCCAGAGGGACCTTGAGGGGCTTGAGAAGTGGGCCTGTATGAACATTATGAGGTTTGGCAAGATCATGTGCAAAGTCCTGCATCTAGGCTGGGGCAATACAAAGCAAAAATGCAGGCAGGGCAGAGAATGGATTGAGAACAGCTCTGAGGAGGACTTGTGTGCTGGTTGATGAGAGGCTCAATCTAAGCCAGCAATGTGTGCTTGCAATCCAGAAAGCCAACCATATCTGGGGATGCATCAAAAGAAGCATGGCCAGAAGGTCGAGGGAGGTGATTGTCGGTCCCCCTCTACTCTGCTCTTATGAGACTCCACCTGGAGAACTGCATTCAGCTCTGGGGCTGTGAGGAGGGACACAAAGATGATCAGAGGGCTGGAGCACTGCTCCTATGAAGACAGGATGAGGAAGTTGGGGTTGTCCAGCCTGCAGAAGAGAAGGTTCCCAGGGAGACCTTGTAGCAGCCTAATACCTAAAGTGGGCTACAGGAAAGCTGGGGAGGGACTCTTTGTCAGGGAGTGTAGTGATAGGACAGGGAGTAATGGCTTTATACCATAAAACAGTAGGTTTAAATTAGATATAAGGAAGAAATTCATTGCTATGATGGTGGTGAGGCACTAGAACAGGTTGCCCAGAGAAGTTGTGAATGCCCCATCCCTGGAAATGTTCAAGGCCATGTTGGATGAGATTTTGAGCAACTTGGTCTAGTGGGTGGCATCCTTGCCCATGTCAGAAGCATTGGAACCAGATGATCTTTAAGATCCCTTCCAACCCGAACTGTTCTATGATTCTATTACTCTATATTATAAGAAAACACAGTGAGAATAACAATTTGTCTTTAAAACACGTAAGTACTATGAAGTTGATTAATTTGGTAGATCTATTGAGATGAATATTCAGGTTGGGTACAGTAAGGAAATAGTTTACCAAGAAGCACTGAGAGTGGCTTATGAGCTGAAGGTGTACTTTGTGGCATGAGTACAGTGTTTATAGTCCTATTTTAATGGACATCATATCAAGCTGAAAAGGCTAGTCATAGACTCAAGATTTCTTTTTATCAAAAATTAACATCAAGGATACAAAAAATGTAAAGGCTCTAGCTGTGCTAATACCTTATGGCAACAACAAACAGCAAACAATTACTATTCTAGTGGTGACTATAAAAAATCTTTCTCCTTCTATCTTTTTCAGTGTGTAAAAAAAAAATAAAATGTCTAAGAGCATTGTATTAGGCTTGAAATGACTCAGTTCACTTGAAGATATGATTGGATTCTGCCTTCTGATCTTTGCCAGTGTTAAGTGCTTTCTGCACTCAAGTGACTCCATCTTACATATAAGAGCGGTTTTTTTTCTCTCCTGTATTAAGCCAAAATTCAAGAACTTGTTTATACTACATATCAAGGAAATTCAAGGTTAAGTGTTACTCAAACATAGTAATAAGTTGTACACTACGCACCTTAGGACAGACAGCATTGTGTTATTGGATGCCACGAGCTCTTCTGTTCTGTGAAGCTTTACTCATCGTGTAGCTGTTATAATTACTAATTATCATGGTATAAAATGAAAAAAAAAAAGAAAAACAAAACAAAGAGCAACTGGGCAGCAATGAGGAGCAGGACCTTATCCCCTTGTTTTAAAAGTTTCTGAGCTTATGAATACTCATGAGCCTAGTACAGGGAGATCTCTTTTCTGAACTCATGCAGCAGCTGTGTGTAGGCTATGGGATCAGTTGGCTGACATCCTCAAATGGACCTGTGAGGTCTCCATGTATGGCAGAAAACCTGGAGGCAGACCTCTGCACGAGGATAGAAATCTGCTACTTGGAAGTCTGTGAACAGCCTTTATGTCCCGTACAGGGAAACCCAACAGACATCTCCTCCTGAGCACTGTACAGAACAACAACCTTTCTTTGAGCATCACCCTTTACTTCCTTCAGAATTTAACTGCCAGCAATAGCCCATAGTATCATTGCTTTTCACTTCTCCCTCAGCCAGAGCCCAACAATCAACTACTACTCTGATAGAAGGTCTTTGCATGAGTTCCCTTCCCTGGTTTTTGACTCTATGTCCAGACAAGCTGCCCTTCCTGGCCTGATGATGAATTCCTGCTGGTCCTCTCCCCAGTGCTCTCACATCAGTTTTGCTCACTGGTTCAGCTCATAGAATCATATCATAGAATCATAGAACAGCTTGGGTTGGAAGTGACCTTAAAGACCATCTAATTCCAACCCCCCTGCTATGGACTGGGACACCACCCACTAGTTCAGGTTACCCAGGGCCCCATCCAGTCTGGCCTTGAACACTTCCAGGGATGGGGCATCCACAGCTTCCCTGGGCAACCTGTTCCAATGCCTCACCATCCCCTCTGAGTGAAGAATTTCTTCCTAACACCTAAACTAATCTCCCTTCTTTTAGTTCAACGCCATTCCCCCTTGTCCTTGTCACCATTTGCTCAATGAAAAAGTTGTTCTCCATCTTTTTTGTAAGTCCCTCAAACAGGTCCACATCCTTCTTGTGCTGGGGGCTCCACATCTGGATGCAGCACTCCAGGTAGGGCCTCAGAAGGCAGAGCAGAGGGGGACAATCACCTCCCTCGACCTGCTGGCCACCCCTCCATCGATGCAGCCCAGGATGCAGTTGGCCTTCCGGGCTGCACCTGAGCACTGCTGGTTCATGATGAGTTTTTTGTGTACCAGAACCCCCAAATCCTTTTCTGCAGAGCTGCTCTCAATGAATTCTTCTCCCACTCTGTACTCATGTCTGGGACAGCATTGAAGCAGCTGCATCACCTTGCACTTAGACTTGTTGAACTTAATTAGGTTCATGTGGACCCACTTTTCAAGCTTTTCCAGTCTCCTCCTCATACCAGCCCCCTCAGTGAGGGCTCTCCTGCTTCCTCATGGTGTGATCCTTAGGAGACCCTTGCATGGTCAAGGGCTGTAACATGGGGCCTTGCAGCATGTCCTAGTACAACAACCCTGTGTGGATTACTCCTTCCATCCTTCACATCTTACCTGCATCCCCTGTAGACAGGTAAGTGCTGGGATCCCAAGTAACATCTCCACTGCTGCTGAGGCCCCATGCTTAGACTTAGAATAGGCAGCATTTCCAGACTGTGAGATAACTGTGACACAAGACACTCTGTTGTCCTGGCTCCTCTGAATTACTTCTTCATACCCATAATTAAGATAACTAAGATCATTACCATATTGCTAAATACCCATCTAGCGTGGGATGAAGCACACTTGTTGGCTGTTCTTACTGCAGAGTTACGATGCACATCTTCAAGTCCGAAATAATCATAAGCCTGCCGAGATACCACCATAGCTAGGAACTTACAGTTCAATTTTCATCAAATGGTTCAAATTAGAACAAAATACATACAAGAACAGAAGTCCCAAAACATAAACTTGTTTGTTCCTGTGGGACTTCAAACATTTCTGTTGCATCATTATAAAGGCCCTGTTATGGTGGTTATTCAGCCTACTGTGTGCAGTGACATACCAAGAAGACACACTACAGAAAAAGTCATTTGTAGCAATATTTATTCCAGTTGTAAAATTCTAGAACAGGATAGAAAATGGATTTGGGATATCAAAGAACTAGATCAGATGTGACATAGATAATTATTAAGACAGATGTCTTAGAGGAATGTGCCTTCTTCCCTAATACCTGATGAAGCAGAATCCACTAGCAGTTGGACTGGCACCCTTGGCATTAAAAATTGGTGACTTTCCTCAATAAAGATGTATTCTGTATTTGCTTTCTGGTTTATGAGCCCATAGGGGATGCAATCTCATTTCAAAACTTTACTATCTAACCAGTAGAACTAGTAGTATTTTGTCTTTTAATACAGGCTCTGATTTCTTTGTATCACCCAGTTACCAGCTGGTAGGGACTGAAATTAAATCAAATATTTGGCAGTTTATTGTAAAATGGGCATTCATGTCATTCATGTGTGATTACCCAATGGATGCATTTTTAAAAACATGTATGTGTTGTCCTAGCTAATGTACATTGATTACAGATTGTTGGTGATATGAATCAATCTATAAAATTGAGTTCTGGAATCATGTGCTTAATTTTGCTTCACTTAGAATGGAATATATAAGATGTGGATAGAACTGGTTACACAAGAACACAAGGCCTGAAAGAAAAAAGAGGGAATTAAGTTCCTGGGGAAAAAAAAAAAAAAAAGCAAAAAAAAAAAAAAAGCACAAGGAGCCTAGCTGATGTGCATCACCAGAGGACAACTTTATAGTATAGTATCCCTGACATTATGCTAACCTGAGCTCAGACTCTGTCTTTATTGCAAACCCAGGGTCAGAACCTGTCCCTGCAACAGCATATCACAGGATAGGCTTTCTGCAAAGCTGTGCACACTACTGCCTGTCTGAGTAGTTCACTTGCTCAATCACTGCAGGATCCACCATTTTCTCACAAATGCAAAATTTGTATTCACCACACTGTGCAGTGCCGATGTTTGAACCCTGAAGCCACACACACTCTAGGAAAGGTCTTGAGCTGGTTTCTTGGAACTGAAACCTGTGAAAAAAATAACAAAGATTTTCACCATCCCATGAAAAAAAAACACAGACTAATAGAATAATTCATGATGGCTGCTACCTATTTGACCCACACTAGCATATAAGCTCTTTTATGGAGGCTTGTCTGAATAAATAAACAAGTGATGAGCAATCTGATCATAAACTGTGGGGATGGGCAGCTGAGTACTAAGTGGTGGCTAAAGGCTCCTGCCTTTGGCTCACAAGAAATATGCATGGACTTGGTCTGTTCCTATCTGCGTAGTCACTTACAGATCTGTGGAGAAAGCTGATCCATCCTCCCATAGCCAGGGCCCCTCAGATCCATTGTGAGACAGCCCAGTCCAGAAAGAATAAGAACCGTAAGACTGTGCTGATTGCATTACAAAGTCCTGTACAGAAATAAATGTGAAGCCTGTGAATCACATCCCTGCTTCATTCATAACCGCCTATGATTTGGAAAAGGAAAGAAGGAAATTAAAGTGAAGTATTCACACCTGTGTGTAATAAACATTGTTTTGCAAGTGACTCTGGGCAGTGCCTCCTATTCCTGGCAGCAATCTGCTATTTTGGAGGTAAGGAAAACTAACCTGCCTAGAGCCTTTAGCAGTTATCAGCTAAAATGGTCATTGAGATAATCACAGACTGCACATAGCTGGGTAAAGGACATAGGATAACGACTCCCTTCTAACACCCTTCTAAAGCTAATGAGTACTAGCTCAATTATATTTGACCTGAGGTGGAGTGAGGCTCTAGATGTAGACTGGTGTGTCTCAATTAACTCTCCTGAAGTCAGTGAAGATACATAAGAGAGAGTACAGCCACAGTACAAGCAGAGTGACTTCAAAGAGGCAGAGACTGAGTTTTTGTTGTTTGGTCCAGCACATGCATGCCAAAACATACTGCTCCGGTAGAAAGATGGAGTGGCTGTTCAGACCACATTAGATGTGGTGCATGTAATTAGAAAAAGGAAAGAACAACAAAAAAGAATCTTTACCAGCTCTTTCTTACTCTCTATCTTAAGAAATCTGGACTCCAGAGCAGAGCACCGAGCCTTGCTTTCTTGCCAAGTTTTCCATTCCTTTGAAAAGTAGTAACAGTTCTCCCCATACTGCAGCCAGGTCTCAGGACAAGGAGTACATTTATATCCTTGAAAACAAAACAGCACCTGATCAGCTTTGTCAGTGATGGCAGTCTCTTCTAGTCTAGTTGATTTCTGCAAGATCACAAGAGCAGTGCACAGCCTCTCTATCACAGAGAAGCAGCAACTCCTCTTTCATTCTGAAGCTAAATTCATGCCTTCAGGGGAGACTTTATAAACACAGTTGCCAGAAGGCCAGAATAACATTTCAAAATTAAAATCAGATAAACAAACACTAAAGATTTTTGGAATATGAGCAGAAAGCCTGTGAAAATATGTGTATGCAATCCAGAACTGTAGAACTGATAATGACTGATTTTTGCACTGTATTTGAAGCAGCTGCCAGCTTCACAATGAGATGGAGTGCTGGGGTATGCTTCTTTCTTCTCCATACAATGGGATAACTGCTGGTAAGAGAGTGCTAGTATAGTACAACTAGAGGAAATTTTGACGATTGAGTTATGTTCACAGAGACATGGATCTAGGTGGGCATACAGGTAGAGGGAACCTAGACTTTCAGTCATATGGGGTCATCTCTATTTATGTGAACTTTCAGTTTCTTGCTAACAGCTTAAGGGTCAGCTCTTCCCTCCTATATGCTTTGCAAAGCAACTTATACTGGAACTTCTCTGGCAGCATTTCATATATGCTATGGATTCAGCATGCAGATGGCAGATAGTGCTGGCCAAACAAAGTGAAAGATATTGCACACATTGTTCTTCCAAAAATACCTTTCTGACAGCTGCACTTTGGCTCATTCTGCCACATTATTCTGTTAGCTGCTTGTTGGGACCCTGGGTAATACTGAAGCCAGTGAGAATTCAAAATACTTATTTTTTCCACCACTCTTGCACAATCTAGAAAATCCATTTTCTAGTTGGAAACAGAAATAATCACAAGCGGCAAAAAGGCCTGCCAGATAAAATATTTTGGAGAACTCTGGGAACTGGGTCCAACCTACTGGGTGGATCATGACTATTGTTTTGCAGTTCACAAGGCAATTTGATATTATAACAACTCAGTACCAGCTGGGAATATGGGGACTTGATGCTGGATGGCAACAGATAGCACAGTGCAGTGCACTTGACTCTTACAAGTAGCTTCTGGTTTCTGTTAAATTCAAATCCAGACTTCTACAAAGATGATAATCTTGTCACTCTTTCACAAGCCTTTCATTTATAATGATTCTCTTCCCTCCATTATGTGATAATCTAGCATATTTAGCCCATTCAATATTAAAGGTTTGAACCATTATTTTACACAAGTTGAAATATACCCTCTGGATATGGTCCGTAAACTGTTAAGGCCAGTGATTCCAAACCTATTTGGTAGAGGTCAGCAGTATTTGCTCTGCTACATCCACTACATAACAGAATGAAGATGTCTTGGGTGGTCAAAGCATTCCAGACAACTAGAGCTAGTAGGAATTTTCCACGATTTATTTTTTTTTATGATAATTCGCTGAAACTGACAACAACAAAGGGGGAATGGTGGCATCAATGAATTTGCCTATTGAAACACATTTTTTTTATTATAAAAACAAAAGTATCATCATTGGGGTGCTTTCTGAATTAAAATGTTTATTTGCTTTAGGATTTAAAAAAGTTCCATTGCAAAAAGTCAGTAAACATACTTCAAAGAGACTGATACTTAAAAAAATGGAAATGCAGTCTTCTCATTGATTCACCAGAAATTAATTTTCCAAAGAAACAATTCAGAGAAATTTTAGAGATTTTAAACTTTCCTTTCAATATTTTTGATAGAAAACAATTATATTTGTGGTTACCATGAGGTGGAATCACCTTCTTCCCACCAGTATGTACCTCTGGAGGTGGCAAGTTGCTTTATAGTTTCTGACAAGTTCAAATTCTGAGCCTGGAGGTGCTCCAACTGCTGGCTGAGGTTTTCCATAATTGCCTTTTGCAGGGTGAAGTTTTCATCCCTTTCATGCACAGTGTGGCAGACCAAGATGACTTGAATGACAGTAAAACAAGAATGAAATTGTTCCATTAATACTAAAGGCATAGAGTTCAATGTCACCCAAATAAACTTACCAAAGATGCATATTCCTCCCCAAAACCAAATATACTTGACCTACCTACACTTTGTGTGTACTACATAAGACATATCTACATTCTGACACATACTACATCATGATTTTGAAGTCTGTGGAGTCTCCTGAGTAGGTAAATTCTTCCAGAAAGGGATCTTTTTTTTTTTTTTTTTTTTTTTTTCCCCATTTATTAATTCTTTAGGCTAATTGTTTTCCTTAAATTACTTCTAGTTGTTCATACAGCTCTGAGCATCCCTTCTGTGACCATACTTACACTTGGCTGCTAAGACTCCTGTGGCTACCACTGAACTTAGGCAGATGACCCCAATCACCATTGCAGCCAGCTGCCAACAGGAAGATCGACTGCGAGACCCTAAGATACACAAAAAGAAGGAAAGCATCAAGAACAGGCGCAGAATCAATGAATGTCTGAGGCTGGCAGGGACCTCTAGAGGTTGTCTGGTCCATCCCCGTCTGCTCAAGCAGAACCACCTAAAGCAGGTGACCCAGGACCATGACCAAATGGCTTTTGAATACCTCCAGAGGAGAAGGCTCCACAACCTCTCTGGGCAACCTGTGCCAGTGCTCAGGCACCCTCGTAGTAAAATGTCTCCTAATGTTGAGAAGAAACTTCCTGTTTCCAGTATGTGCCCACTGCCTCTTATCTTAGCAGTAGGCACCACTGTTTACAGCTTCTTTCCAGGTATTTGAATACATTAAAGAGAAACACACAAATACACACCACCACCCTGATCGTTCTCTTCTCCAGGCTGAAGAGTCCCAGTTTTCTCAGCCTTTCCTTATATATAAGATACTTCATTCCCTTAATCCTTTTCATAGCCCTTCTTCAGACTATCTCCAGCATGTCCATGACTTTTGTACTGAGGATCCCAAAACTGAACACTGGCACCTCTCATCTTTATGTCTCCGGATCCTACATTGCACAAGACAACTTGACCAGTACTCTGCCCAGTAAATTGCTGAGATTCCAGTATACCAGTAAGTGGTATTACATTAAAAAAATTGTCCTGCCATTTGTCTGTGACCAGTCCTCCTCAGGAATTTGGGGCTAGGAAGTGAGTAGGCCATAGAGATTAGTTTAGCTATGAAGTATTAAGAGAATACAAATTGAACAAATAAAGCTAAACGGCATAGACTTTCACACGTGTGAAAAGACCATCAAGGAAACATTTGGCTCAAAACATGGTCAGAATTTTCATATGCTTTGAGATATTGGTGTATTTTGACTTTTGGATGCCTAACCTGCCAAACTGGGAATTAATCTTGTGATTCATGTCTTTTGTCTTCTTTTGGTAGACTCCAGTGCAACACTTCAGTGAGAATACTTAAATTATGTTGAAGTCACTGACAGAAATAACTGGGATACCCGCCTCTGATACTTCTGTCTTTTATTTCCTGTGTTCCCTAACCCTCTAACCTAACAGTTGGGATTAACCCTACTAGACTATTAGGAATTCAGCTTCAACCTCCAAATATAAAATACAAAGAACCCTTGAAAAATAAGTATGAAATAATCACAGACTAGCTAATAAGGAAAAAAACATTTCAGAAAGAGCTCTTTAAACTGCTAGCCTAATAAATTCATCTAGTTACTCAGGCTGGAACATAAAATCTCTTTGTTTTTCTCATACCTTTCATACAGAGCAATTTAAAAGCACTAATGTGTACAGTACAGAGTACAGATTGTGATCAGCCACGTTCCCACATTCCTCTGGGTCTTCTGTGAAGCTATATAGCATATTTTTTATGATTTTTAAAGTACAAATATGTTCATCCTCACCCACACCCCCCCAATATATAACCTGCTTTTCTTAGCATTTATTTCAGTTACTCATATTTAAATGATTAAAGTTGAAAGACCTTTACAGAGTTCCTTAGATTACTTCACTAACTTCTAAGACCTGACACTTGATATCTAGCCTGAACATGCTTTTTTTTTTTTTTTTCCCCTAACTGCATCCCACAACTCTAATTGTCTCTCAAATCTAAGCACTTTTTTCCCTTTCTCCAGGCTTACATTCTTTTTAACATCCTGCCATTTTTCTGTCCCTCCAATTTCTTTAAAGATTTGAGTCCAAAGGTCTCCCTTTGGAAACACATAGGTGACAATCTCCTCTGAGTGCCACATCAAAATATTATCCAAGGTGAAAGTTTGCCCTGTGGAGAGCTGTCCCCACCCAACATCAACACTACCTTTTGCTCTGGCAGTCTGGATGTCCTTGGTTTGTAATTTTTCCAATGTCACAAACTTCAGGTCTGCATATGTCACTTCTTCGGTCATTTCTGAAGGCTACAGGAGTAATCAAAGGTTGCGTTGATTCCACAGAAGAAACAGAGCTTAGGTTCTGGCTGGGATCAGATATATGCTCCGTGTCACTGGGAGTTGAGAGAGTGATTCATATAGAAGTCAGAAGGTTGGTTTTTTTGCACATTCTCAAGGACTTCATGACACAGAGGTGCCAGGGTTATTTACATGCAGCAGAAGCTTCTAAAATGTATCCATGGAATAGTATTTAACTTTCCTGTGTATGCAGATTGCAATGGGGCATGGAAATCTTCAGTTTTCGATTAATGGAACAAATGCATAGTTACCCAGTCTGGGGACTGCATCCTTTCTGTAGAAAGAAAAAGAAGGAAGACAAGAGTTAAAAGGGAACTGATGTTAATTTTGGATTATGTCTAAACTATTCCTTGAAGTTTTTCAGCATCAGGAACATTTGTTTCCTGGTTTTATTCTCCAGTGATTAATATTCAGAAAATGTAGCCAAAATGGCTCCCCAGTCTTACTTGCTATGAGGAGGAATGGAGGTAAAATTAAGTGGGAACTATTCCTTTGCTTATTGTTTATGAGCACATCTCAAATGTCCTGATGGGGTAGCACATAGGTTTGTCAAAGCCATTGCCCATTCCTGGAACATGAAAAAGTTTCCCAGCTGTCCTTCCTATCTCAGGCCTAGAAGCAGCCTAGGCACAGTCACATACGACACATCACAATTCCCTCCTTTTAGCAAGAACAACTAACAGAGCACAGCAGCAAGTCATTGTGCTAGGAGTTGCCACTGCATCCAAGGAAGAGTCACCCATCAGCTTGAGAGTCTGCCCCATGGTCTCTAGAACACTGAGTGCTGGTAGTATGATGGAGAAGTTTAGCAAGTTTACCAGTATTTCTATGTCTGCAGAAAAAAAAGGCAGGAATGAAACCTGAACCTTCTGTTTTATTGCATGTGGCACTGCTGCACACAGCTCAAGAACTGCTGGCCTCACCATCTGTGAATCTCTGTGACAGAGGAAGAGCACCAAGTAGCATAGAATCCCAAACTTTTATCTTAGAGTGGAAGAAATTAGTACAGTAACTTAGACCCCAGCGTCTGGGCAGAAGACACAGAGAGGCCAATAGATGTTAATTTCCAGGAGTGTCTTGGCCTGTCCCCAGTGAGATGGTGCTTCTGAATCTTCTGTCATACCTTCTCTCAATAACCATTATGCCATCAGTGGAAGGAACATGAAATGTGGAAGTGTTCTGCTCCTTTGCACCTAGTTCATTTGATAAAGATACAGTTTTGTTTCACAAGTGACAGAACCCTTTTGGATTATCATCATCCATTGTAAAATATATAACAACCTTCATGATGTCTGGCTACACCAGCAATAGTATCAGGGGCCCTCATGAGTCCCAAATGTCTTCTGCATTTTACGTTTCTAAATATCCCTGGAGAAGTATTGGGTATGACTAATCAAGCTGGCTTTGGTGGAATACTCATTTGAAGAATAAGAGGGATCAAGCAGCAATTTCTGAAAGATTTCCAAGAGTAAGCAGTACAGCAGCCCTTTTTCCATGCTTTAAGAAGTTTTACTCCCAGTTAAAATCATGCTAAGAAATAAAAAACAGGCTTGACATCCATCCCTTGATACAACCAGAACAGGATAGCTGAGACAGGACAAGAGTATCTTCTGCCCACACTCAGATCTGCTTTCTCTAGAATCCAAGGAAAGATATGTGGAAATCACATAGTTTACTGTTGCATGGACTATTAGATTTTAAACTATGTCAAAGAACAATGAAAAGTCAGTGATGGGACATTTTTGTTTGTTTTAGCAATTCTGTAAGAGTCTGATCACATTTTTAGAACCGTCTGAAAGGTGCTAAGGGAAAATATGAAAGACAACTTTTACTTCAATAATAAAATAAAATAATAAATTAAAGCAAAGACAAATAAAATATAGAGATGACTGAGGCAAAATATCAAGGGAAAGTGGAGAAATTGAAATCTTTGTTGGATGACAGGGCCACAGACAGGTTACTAGAAACACAGTATTGATGGCAATGCCATATAAATAGAAAAAGAATGATCAATGAAATTCAGCAAGAGTGAGTTATGGTATGCTTTTGGATGGGTCAGATCTTCATGCTACACTGATGCTTTCTCGTTAGATTTCTTTTTAACCACTCTATCTGATATTTCTTCAGTTTGGTCTTTCTAGAATTCGAAATTCTTATGAGACTGAATTTCAGCTAAAAATCAACTGGTAATCTTTTGAATTATGAGCAAAAAATCCCCTGAAAAGCATTGATAATTTGCTCTTCTTTTCCACATTTTATTCTAACAGTTTTAAAAGTTGTACATACAAGAAAAGCTATTTTACAGTTCTTTTGTGTCTTTTCTTCTAATTTCCATAGATCCGTAGAATAATAGAATGGTTTGAGTTGGATAGGACCTTAAAGATCATCTAGTTCTACCACCCTTGTGATTGGCAGAGATCTTCCAATAAAATTCTTATAACACACAAAAGAGTTTAAGGAGAAAGAGAAAAAAATAATATTGTCCACTTCCCACACAAACAGAAAGCTATTAGCTCATGTTTCTATATTTCTTATTTGTCCACCAGGATGCAGAAACATTCTTCCAGTAGTAAACTAATTTAGAAACAAAAGCAACGAGAGAGAGAAAGAGACAGAGAATGATGCTAAGGAATGTTTACACTGAACCACATTTATAATTAGAGAATGGTAAATGTTTTTTAGCCTGCCTTGTAACTGTGCATTATGTTCATGAATTAATTGGTTCTGCTCTGCAACTCTAAAATGCATCACCAAGGCTAATGATTCACCAGCTTAATGTGAATGCAACATGGAACAACAAGTCTCTCTAGTTGCTATCCTGCCCTTAACACATACTTATACACCAGTCCCAGGTGGTTCCCAAACACAAATAGTAACATTATTAATGAGCATTTTTTCTGTTTTAGCTATTCAAAAGAGAAAGAGAACATGAACACAATTTTATGCAATAATCATATTCTGACTAGTCATAAGCAGTAACAGAAATCCAAAGCAGCTCTACAAAGTAAAGAACATTAACAGGTTGTTGAATGGAACCTTCTAATTTAACTAATTTCAGGACTTATTGTATCCAGATAGGAGTATCAACATGCATCCCCTATGATGCAAAGTATTTGGGGAGATTTGGCTGGCCATGCAGGACATTCAAGACTGGGACCTGTGAGAGAGAAGTAAGCAGACTGATAGTTGCAGGACTGACATAGCAGGAGACTACCAGGTAACAGGCATGATGGCAGAGCCTTAAAGTGGAAGATCCAGGAGGCATAGTATATGCATATATGTGCACAATTATTTATTATATTGCAAGCTCTTTCACCTAGCAGGAACTTCCCAGTTGTAACACACTCTAGACATTGATCACATGGATAAAGTCAATAGGTTGAATCTGAATTGTTAAGGGGCAGAAAAAGTACTGGAGGAGGGAGAAGAATCTGATACACATTTAAACAGGTCAATAACATGACCTTCAACCCACTCCCCTCAGGGTAGGGGCGGGGAGAGGAATAATTTGTAATGAACAAACTCAGACCCTTTCTGCTCACAGAAGAGAAGGTTCAGATCTGCAGAGATCTCTTGATGCCCTTCATTGAACTAGTTCAACATCTAAAGTAAGAACTCCTAAGTACCGCTTTTCTCCTGATCTGACTGGAAGGTTTCAGAGAACCCTTCAAAAGAGACGAAGAAGCACATCAAGAAAATAACAAAAGGTGACAGGCAGAACCAAACAGGAGTTGTCGGTGACAGAGAACAGAAGAGTAAAAACAAAAACCCGAGAAATAGAGACAAAGGACAGACCCAGAGGCAGATTGAAAGAGGTAGAGTGGGAAGAGACTGGATTCAACATACAAGGAGTGTGCTCTTTATTCTAATCAGTGAATAGGTGAGGATGAACAGAATCTAACAAGAGGAAAAGTCACCAAGAAGCTTGAGCCAGCAAGAGGCCACAGAAGCACCCCTTCAAGATGCATAGCCTTGTCATGATCTGCTTTGTTTTAGGGTGTTTCTTACAGGTAAGTCACACCAAGTTCAGTCCCTTTTCCTATGGTCTCTACTTAGTTGTGGAGTTACCTTGGAAAGCTGGACAGCTGTTAGCAATTGATAATAACAGGAATTGCTGTTATACTAGAAATAATTGGGCATATCAAATGCAGAAGAGAAGAATAATTGCTGTTATTCTAGGGATTATAACGCAGCGATCAGGGTACCCAAGACAGAAGAATGAGAAGGGTAGGAGTGCTGGAGAGACAGAGACAAATTCAAATTGATGTGAGTGTAATATGTACTCCCCATATATATACACTCCCAATATTTGAGCATGGAGAAGGATTTACATCTGTAGTATGGCATATCTACATATAAGGGAAAAGGGAAACTTGTGGTGAGTGCAAAGGGAAGTTGGAGTCTGTGCTGGAAACAATGTTAAATAGGATTTTATTGACTATGTGAAGTTAAGATGTGAAATGGTGAAGTTGCCATCACAGTAACTTTAAGTCTACAGCAGAATATACAGGGAAATTGTTGAAGATAACAGTGAGACCTTTCCATAGGAAATTCAGACAGGTAACTGTCTAGGTGACAGAAACAAATGTTGCATATCTTATTTGTTTTTCTCCTTCTAGTTCCCCCAAGTGAGGGGCGAGGAAGGGTGTCTTAATCCCGAATTGTGAGTATTTGGAGATCTTGCACTCTTTTAAGAAAACTGTGAAGGTCAAAGTTAGTAGTGGACATCAGTGTTAATAACATGGTGACAGACATTTTCCAGAAAAGCTTACTTTCATTTTGACTATGGAAAACTTACATAAAATGCCCATTGCTTTGAAGTTTAAGTGCATTGGTTGCTACCAATTCAACATATTCATCATGCAGTACTGTTTCTGCTCCCTATTTGGATAACTCTAACAATTAATAGTGTTCTGGTGTAATTTTGATTAGCTGAGATTATGCATTTGTAATTAACCTTTCCTTAAAAACTTGTTTTTAAAATATATTTCTTTGCTGAATGGTGGTGTTATTTGTAAGAATAACAGAAAACAAGACAAGTGAAGGGCACACAGGAATGGCACAAAGCTGTGCCAGGAGAGGTTCAGGCTGGATATCTGGAAAATTTTTGTTACCATGATGGTGGTCAAATACTGGAGCATATTTCCTAGAGAGCTGTTTGATGCCCTGTGACAGTCAGTGTTCAAGAACCATTTGGACAATGACCTTATTAATATGCTTAAACTTTTGTTTAGCCCTGAAGAGGGCAGTTAGGCACAATGACCTTTGAAGATGCCTTCCAACTGAACTATTGCATTGAATTCTATTCTATTCTATTCTGTGCTGTTCTGTTCTGTTCTGTTTTGTTCCGTTCCGTTCCGTTCCGTTCCGTTCCGTTCCATTCTGCTCCATTCTAAAACAAATGTGGAAAATGTCCTACGAGGATTCTGTTTTGACTAAATAAATATCTTTAAAAATGCACAGACAGGTCAACTGACTGAAACTAAGGGAACATACAACACAGTATCCAAAATGTACTCAAAGGGACAGAAAAAAATCAATGAGAAAGTCAGAAGAAAAAAAAAAAAAAAAAGTAAAACATAGCATTAGTCAGACTGAATTGTGAAGAAAAAGAAAGGAAATTCAGAAATTATAACATGATGCAGTTCCTAAGGTTTGCAAATCAAATTGGTCAGGCACAAATATCAGGGGAACAACTAAGAGATAAAGCAAAACAGAAGGGAAACTCATCTGACAAGAAGATCGATGAGGTTGGGCAACTGCCTCCTACATGAAATATTGTGTTTTTCTCATATTTTCTGTCATTTACAAGCTGCAGTGTAACACAGGAGTGTGAGGGAAGCTGGAAGAGGATACAGCGGGGATCTTTCCATTTATTTGTTGTTCTATGTCTAACTACTTTTTGTATCTCTTTTTCTCAGCTGTTCAGGTACAGAGTGGGTCCGTCTGTGGTATATCTGGTAAGATGACATATGATTACTTTAAAGATCTGTATCACTGGACAATTCCAGTAGCAAATGGTGGGATTAAATGTGGTCTTGTAACTCACTGAAGGGTGATGCTACCCCCCACATTCCCTTTACACCTTCTAATGTTCTGCAGCAGTAGCAAGCCAACCCCTAGACATTGCATTGTCTTTGGCAAACATTGACTTGCCACTACAGGCCTCCTTTTTATTCCATGTATAGTTGCAAGCACAATATTAATAAAGCCTTCATGTCACTGTATGCCTTTTAAAAGGCTCATCTTTTTACTAATTTCAGTCCATTTCCTTAGTAATTAAGAATGGGAATAAAAAGGGCGGCAGTTGTCAGACATCTACAAGGCTGCATTAGTAAGATTGTAGCCAGCAGTTTGAGAGGTATGATTTTCCTCTCCATGAGGACACATCTGGATTATTTAGTCCAGTTTTGCTCCCCCAGTACAAAAGAAGAATTGATAAACTGGAGCAAGGTTCCTGGAAAGCCAACAAAATAATCGGGGGACATGATGTGTGAGGAGGGGCTGAAAGGACTAGGTCTGTCCAGACTGGAGGAGGCTAAGAGGCAGGGAGGAAGGGACCTAACTGCAGATTTCTACAAGCTGAAGTGTATCTGAAAAGAAGACAGAGCCAGAGTTTTCTCAAAGTTGCACAGCTTAAAGACCCAAGACCATGGGCCAAGCTGCATCCAGGGAAATTCTGATCAGACAGAAAATTAGGTAGAAGGTCAGATAGAATAAAAAATGTTTACCCTAAGGATGATGCTGCACTGGAATGGGTGCCTGAAAGGATGGGCCACAGACTCTCCATCGCCACAGACTGTCCAAACTCTGCTGGACAAAGCCCCAGATAATTGTGTCTAGCTTTGATATTAGCCCTGCTTTAAGCAGGGAGAGATCTTAATATGCCCTCTCTAAACAAGATTTTTCTGCTCAAATTCTGTTTTCTCTCCCCTTCCAGGCTGGTGGTTGTGATTGGTGGACTGCTTCTCCTGTGTGGCCTGGTTTCTGTCTGCATGAGATGCTGTTTTCATTGCCATCAAGGAGGGGACGAATCAGGTCCTCAGCCCTACGAGGTCACCGTCATTGCTTTTGATCATGACAGCACCCTCCAGAATACCATTACCTGTGAGTTAGCTTTGACAGAGGCTGGGGACCTCAGTACACCCTACTGTGAAGGGATGTACTGTGAAAAGCCCAGGGTGGGGCATCTCAAGGTCCCCCAATGGGCTGACAGAGGGAAATCCCAGGCAGGATGCTGGGAAAGTGGCATCTGTAAATACTATGAATTAAGGTGCTCAAAAAGCCTCATGTAGCAAATATGGTCATATGGTGAATTGGTTGTAAGATGTGCTTGGGTGAACTAAGGGCAGCTACAGGGGCCTTGGTGCCATTTGATGAAGGACAATTATGGGATATTGCTGAGGGGGTTTCATTCTTCCCTTTAGGGCAGGATGAAAGGGTAGTAAAGGAAAATATTCAGGCTATGGGGACAGAAAAGCCTGTGCACTGTGCTCTAATTGTGTGGTACTTAAAGGATGAGGCAAATGGCTTTTGTGTCCTCCCTTCCAGCTCTCCATTCGGTGTTTGGACCTGCTGCCAGGAGAATACTAGCAGTGGCACACTCCCATAACACTCTGCAGGGAACATCACCCCTCTCGGCATCCGACACCCCTCCAGTCTACGAGGAAGCTCTACGCATGAGCAGGTTCACAGTTGCCAAGGCCGGACAGAAAGTGACAGATGTGGATCCAGTGCCCAAAGCAAAACTGCAAACATCTGCTGAGGTCAAGGATGCCCTGCCAGCCCTCCCAGGACGCTAGTGCTTGTTTTTAGTGAATGACAGTAAAATAGAGAATAATTTCATTCAGAGGCTAGTTCTTCTGGGCAGGACTAGGATTACCAGATTAAACTCCTTAGTCTAATGACAAAGGCAAAAAAAAAAAAAAAAAAAAGATACTAAAGTTCCAAACAGTTCAAGATCTAGCATATTTTGATGGTTCCTTTCGATACCTCCTTGAGATAATCACCCATTGGCATTCCCCAGGTCCATTTATTACACACAGATGTCATTAGAATCGCATTTTGCATGTACAATCAAAGAGGTAGCAGGATCAAGGTGCTGAGATACTTTGCACACTGGTGCTGGAGACCTACAGGGAGATGGCAGATGCTACCTCATTGTACTTGCCTCCAGCCTAAGGTTCCTGGAGATGGCAGAGCTTTTCATACCAGGAAAAACAAAAATGTGAAAAGGACTTACTATGCAGTAATAAAACCAAACTATAGAAAAGTACCAACAATTCACAGCATTTTTATTTTTTTTAATAAAAAAGACCTGTGTACGAATACAATATGCATGTAAGCAAATGATAGGATACACTAGTAGCATGTGCAGTGCAGTTCCCTAAATGATTTATACAGTGCGCACTGTCTGGTCCTGAATAGGATGTATAGCAATTCTGAAATAGCAGTCACAAGCTCTGGCATTTGAATTAAACCTATGATAACATAAACCTGTGATAACATATCAAACAATGGGAGGAGCAGGAACAGGAACACTACTGCTGAAATAAAATTCAATCATAATTCATTTACCTTCATATTATATCATATATCAGTTATTCCTACTGTTGCAGTCAAAAGCAGATCAAGCTAAATAAGATCATCTAAAAGATTTAAGCCATTTCTCAGATAGAGATAATATGCGAGTCTTTCCTGATCCACATAGAGGTGTTGAATCATCCAGAAATATTCATCAAACTGTTTGGATGAGCATAGTTATGGACTATCTCTAAATGTTCCTTGGACTAGGGAATCAAGACAGGGTGATAGCTGAATTACATTGGTATTATCTCTATCCCAGGTTCAACAACCAAAAACATTAAAGAATAAGAAACATCCAATATCAAATAATAAGCAGTCATGAATTAACTGCATGTGTGTGTTGATGTTGATATGAATGCACAGGTCATGGACTTCACATCTGTTTGAAGTGCCTGCACAGCCCTTTCTGCTATAATAATGTTGATCTTCACAATACTCCTGTGAAATACAGAAACGTGGTCATTTTGTAGTTAAGAGAAAGAACCAGGTTGCCAAATGTGTTTAGGAACATAACTGCTGTTGAAATTAAAACCATGGAAAACTTTAGAAAGGAATTTAGAGAAAGTTGCTAAGATACCTTCAGGGACAACATAAAGCAGAACTGAAAAACCAAAACATCTTTGATGACGTCCTAGACCTTGCCCAGTCACAGAAATTTTATATCCAATAAGAGAATTGAAAGAGGGTCTCGATTTCCTAGATCACAAACTTTTTCCTGAATTACATAGTCGTTAGCTAATTGTACCATTAATGAATGATAATCTAGAATAAAATAAATGACATATAAGGTTATGTCTTTCCTGCTCTACAACACATTTGAAATAAGAGTAACTGTTTGTGAAACATCTAATAGTATGACCTATTTCATCAGCTGGTCTCTGAAGTCCAGTTTAAGACTGACTTCTCCAGCAAGCTGCAGAGCATTTCCTGGAAGGCTCTTGTTTACTGTACAGTCAAAGCCTGAAGCAAACAGAGACATTTGAATTGGCTGAACATGTGTCAAGCACTATCAAGACCAGAAATTTCCTGGAAGTCTTCACAATCGTTTCCACTTGGAACATACCATTCCCCCACTGCCTCCACCCCTTTCTTCCTGCCTGTGAACACAGGCGGCCGAGAACTGAGCTGTGCGTGCATTTAACATGAGATGGCAGACGTGCTCCACAGGGCAGCAATCCTGCTGCTGGAATTCCTCCCATGACTAGTAGAACAGGAATTAACAGTTTTTAAGAATTTTAAATGATAATTACACTGTAATTTTGATAAGATGTGCAATAAAAAGGGAAGATTTAAAATTCTTGATTTCCCCTTCCTTCACAGCACACAACCTTTACTATCTCCTTTCTCCATTTCAAGGAAAAAGTTACATGTCACTTGTACCCAGAGCTGGGTATTACCTGCTGATTTATTTCCCCTGAACAGAGCCAGTATAGTCTAACTCTCCTGCACTTTTCCATCTGCTCACATTCTTCTTCGCATGTCTCACACTTAATTGTAACATAGTAGAGCAGACACCTCAAGGCTTTTTTGCTGGCAAGAGATCAAATAATGTGACAATAATGATAGACATAACTTCACTTGTTAAGGGATAGTTTCCTACTAAAGTGATTTCAGATGAGCAATTTCAGAGAAAATATTTATAACTCTAGCAATGAATCAGATACTCAGAGCCTACAAGACATGAAACAACCAGATTAATAAATAGATAGATAGATAAAGTAGTAACAGATCTACAGACTCTAGGTAATGATACGAGATAGTATCTAATAGCAACAATTAGGTGTCATTGACTGGAGACAATTTACTCTTGTTCTTAGCTCTGCTATGAACTGGCAAAGTTCTCTCTTCCAGAAACAATCTAAAAACGAGGACTTAATCAATAAAGACCACGTGTACTTTTTGGGGAGAAAAAATAAATAAATAAGTAAAGCAGAACCACACCCCATAAAAGTATAGTATGCTTATTTACAGAGCTAAGCTACTACTTGGTACTGCTATTTGTAGTTATTTGGCTGTTTTGTTCTCCATTGTAGGTGGTTACATCTCACTATAGAGCCTGGTTTTTGAATATATCTTCTGTGTTGTTTTATAATGGCTAATAAGCTTTCTGGGATCTTTTATGCTTTCAGAATGAAAATGAAGTATAAACATTAAATACTATTGAACATTAAGAACTACTTCTTTTATGCAATATTAAAAAAAAAAAAAAATCAAGTAGCAACAGTTTTCCCCTCATTTAAAATTAATAAGGACATGAACTGTCCCCAAATAAAGAATGACATACCTGGAAAATAAATAAAAGGGTTCTGTTTTTCATAACATAATCTTAGGCTTTGTTTGAGCAGCTTTTTAGAAACTGTAGAAAATTGAGGAAACTGTAGAAAATTAAGAAATTGTAGAAAATTTAGAAAATTAAGTAGTGAGATGAGACTTCAGCATAGACAATATTGAGACATTTCCTAGAAGAAAGGAAAAGATCTACACTGTTGAAAGATCTACACCGTTAATCATTGTTTGCTGGGAGTGACTAACCCTGTGCCCTTACCCAGAACCAACCTGCACATAATGTTTTTGTGGCTGCTATAAATTCAGCATAAAGAGAAACTGGTGACAGGTCACAGCAGATACAGCAGACACGTCAGGCAAGGATTGGGGAACTGCCCATGGACAGACAGCAGAGCAGAATTGCAAGTGACTTCAGGTATGCCTTCTTTGGTTGAGATTCAGCCTACAAAGTAGAAGTTTTCTGACAAGACAGGCTTTGATATGCGTGAAGCGTACTACAGAATAAAATAAAATTAAATTAAATTAAATTAAATTAAATTAAATTAAATTAAATTAAATTAAATATTTTTAAAAATCATCCTGTGGAGATGCAAATGGAATAAGGACCCAAGTGGAGGTACTAATGAAAGAGATATCCATGGGAATCCTGAGTTTCAGGTGGCTGATATAAGTAAACAGCAGCTCCAGGGTTGGCTCAAGAGATATCCACCTATGACGACACCTTCAAAAAACATAAGGCAAATAACAGGGATAATTTTATGTTCAAGTCATGGAATTTTGGCCAGTTATGTAGATACACCTTACAGCCGAATACTGTAGAGATCCTAGCATTGCCCCAGGAGCACTGCGTAGCACAGCACGGGCTGCAGCCCCCTGCCCCTGCATTCTGAGTAAATATTTTTATCTCTTGTTTCTATGGCTACAGCACTGGCAGTACTTGGGGAATCTCTTTTAAAGCGAAGCTCTGCCTGCTTGATCTGCAGACACAGCAATACACGACATGCTCAGAGTTCTTCTGACACTCAAAGTTAAGAAAGCGCCCATTGTTTGGCCACTCTGGGAACCACTTTGTGCTTGGAGTTCAGTGTAGGAAAAACAACCAACCTCATTTCCAGTTCCACCCTCTAGCACATGGATCCAGAATGTGGGGTTTGTCACATGCCCATGGGCTGACATTTTAATAAGAACTCTAAGTCAGATGCCTAGCTGTTTGTTACTGCTTCTGCATGTATCATCTTCCTGCCTGCCGTTGTGCCAGTGACGTTATTGTTTTTACTGAGCCGGCGGAGAGGCTGGGAATTCAGTGCCTGTTGGGGAGGAAGCAGAAAGTGGGAGGAGCAAGCGTTGTGGCTGCGTATTCAGGGCTGCATCATCAGGACAGAAAAAGTTCAGTAAGGGGATTTGTAATCCTCACATGGGATTTGTTGAGGGAGGAGAGGTCACCTAGCAATGCTCTCATGGCCCATGTCTTTGCATCAGACCATGGAAGAACCCCAGAACTTTTCTCCTATTTGTAACGGAATTTCAACCTAGATGTTAGCTCAGTATCCTGAGCTACATGTATATATGTATATATATATGCGGATATATATATATCCGTGTATATATATACATGTTTATATATATATAATCCTGGAGTTGGAAACAGTGATTAACAGGAGTTTGAGATCAGTCTGTAAAACAGCTACAGTGGGCTGATGGCCTGGGTGAAACGGGCAAGAAAAAATCTTCTCTTGAGGAAAAGGCAGCTACTTCTCGACAGATCTGTAAACTTAGCAACTGCTATGGTGCAGGCAATTAGGAAGCAAAAAGGAGGCCAAACATGGGTGAAAAGAACTATGCCACAAAACCAGCATTTTCTCCAGGTCTAAACAAAGACGATGCCTTGCTTCTGACTCACCCTTCTGAGATCCTCTGACACTACCTGCAACCATGGGGAAATGTCCACGTGTCTAAGCACAGACAGAAACAAGTCGATGATGCTTCCTGTACTAACATCATTCATGTGAACTATTAAAGACTGAAACACACTCATCTATGCCATTCCCACTGTTGGTTGCTCTGCCCTTTAAGAGAGCCTGGCACATGCCTGTTGGAGCTGGTCCTTGCACTGTGCAGGAGGCCACAGAGCCCTGTGCTGAGTAGTAACCCTACAGGCACTGAAACGTCTGCCAGAGTTCTTATGGAGCACACTTCAGCCCTCCAAGAGTAAATGTCATGATTCAGGTGAGAAAAAACACACCCCTAACTTGCCTATTCATCACCTCTCACTATAAAGGCATTTTAAGGTGTCAGGCCCAACAGTACTTGCTTAATTTGTAAGTGTACGTGAGATTTCTAACTCATACCCGCTTGTATTCCCATGGCAGACCAGATTTTCTGGGAACTGCCACCATCAGTATATCTGCATCTAAGTAAATATATTTCATCCATATATCTCCTTCATGCAGTGTGAGAGATCGCGGTGTGCCTGGGCTTGTAAAGAGAGTGCCACCAAAAGACCTCCAAGTTCAATAAACAATGGGCTCCAGAGTGCAAAAGTGGTTGGCAGGCAGTACGTGAAATGACTCTTTACAAGGCAGAGAGCACAAGCTCCACTGTGAGTCTGCTGTGGGGATTTGTAATAGGCGTGTCCTAAACTCTGTTGTCAGCCTGAGCCCCACCCTGCAGGTAAATCAGGTGTGCATATCAGTGTACGGGATAAAGCCACCAGTAATGCCTGAATTATGAGTTTCTTGGAGCAGCCTAAAGGATTTGTATGAGTACTTTTAGAAAAAGACCAGGGCTTTATGTTCCTCTGATCCTGTTTTTACCACCTAGGAGCACCCTTACAGGACATCATTAAGGGACATCCAGCTTGCTCTTCAATTTCTTCAGATTTCAAGTTGACTCTTCACTCAAATCTGGATTTTTTCCATTCTAACCACACTGTAGAAGCAGAGTCCTGCAAAATGGCAAGTGTGTCTTTTTCTACTCTTGCTCGTCAATGCACTGACATGGGGTTGAATCAGATATGGGAAACCTGGGATCTCTCACCTCTGCCACTGGTGTGGCCTTAGAGGGTTGCCTTATGGCATCCAAGGCAGCCTGCTGCCCCACTCAGC